TGTATCCTGACTGGGAATTGAACCTGCGACACTTTGGTTCGCAGCCCGTGCTCAATCCACTGAGCTACGCCAGCCAGGGCATTATTTTATGTTTTTTAATATCCAGTTCCTGCTCTCAGGAAATTCCAGTAGTAGCTCTACCATGGTAGTGACAATTGGCCGCTCCCCCTGACCCATGCTGACAGTAGTGATGTTTGAAGAGACTGTGGAGACCTGTGCTGTGTGATCCCTTTGTGCGAAGTGTCCAGAACAGACAAGTCTGCAGAGACTGAAAGTCCTTAGTGGCTGCTCACAGCTGGGGGTGGGGGGATGGGGGAATTGGGAGGTCATAGCTCATGGGTACAGGGTTACTTTCAGAGGTGATAAAAATATTCTAAAATTAATTGTGATGATAGCTGCAGAGCACATTTGTGAATTTTCAAAAAGTCATTGCATTGTACACTTTAAATGGGTGAATTGTACTCTATGTGCACTCCATGATTGAGATAACATTTGGACATATGTCAAAGAAAGTTTTCAGTATAAGGAATATATAACTGATATACATACTGGGTCTGGCAGAGGTAATCCCTGCTTGGGTGTCGTCACTAGGGTAATAACATGGGTGTAATGATTTATAGTTTTAATTCGAACATTTCACCTAAAATGTCATGTGGTGTGCTTGAGTGTGATATTGTTATGTTACAGAATTACATGCTTATGATTTTGTCATAAATGAGTTTGTAATAAACAAGGGATGTTATTTGTGCCAGACCCTGTGTATATCTGGGGGAGAGAGAGAGGGATGGAGAATGTATATATTATAATATATATAACATATAATAAATAAATATATTTATATAAATTTTATAATATAAAATTTAGAATTTATTATTAAAATTTAAAATTTATAATTATAATAATTATAATTATAATTTATAATTATATTATATATTATAATATATTATAATATTGATAGAATATATAATATAGTCTTAGAATATATATTATAATATATTATATATTATTATATATAATATATAATATATATTTATTATATACAGGGAGGATATATATATATATATAAAATCTCCTGATATATAGAGAGAATTTGCTCCATAGCAGGCTCTGTGCTAGGCATGTAGTTAAGGAATAACTTGAAGGAGACAGGCACAGTCCAGGTCACACAGAGTTCACAGTAGGGCACACAGGCATATTAATGACAGTTACGATGAGTGTGATGGTCCCGAGTGTGCAAGAGCACTGGGAAGAGGCCCCTTCCTGGACCTGAGAGTCAAACAAGCCTCCTGGAGGAGATTCTCTTGAAGGCAGTACACAGGCAAGGCTGATCCGGGGGTCAGGCTGAGGGGAGGACGGCTGCTGGAAGTGAGTGTTCTGAGTAGAAGGGACTGCATGAGCAGAAGCCTGGTGTGCAGGAGACGGCCGGCTCCGCCTCTGAACTTGAGGTGCTGGATGGTAGGAGAAGGAAGAGCCTCCCCTTAAGACATGGAGTATGTGAGCATGGAGCCTGGGGGTGGCCCAGAGCTCACAGGGAGGGGGTGTGGGACGATGAGTGGTGGCGAGAAGCTGGTTCAGGGAAAAGAGAGCTGCATGGGGACGGGAACAGGAAAAGGGGGTCAGAGGGGCCTACGTCCGGGCATGGGGCCCAGGATAACAGGGGTATGAAACATGGAGACAGACGTGGTCCAAAGGCCAAAGAGACAGACCCAGCAAGTGTCAGGGAGGTTAGGAGTATAGCGAGTGTACTTGGACTTTTCACGGGTTGCACTTCCATGGGCGTTCTAGTGCTGGACGGACAAGGACAATGGTCTTGCAGGATGGGCTGCCTGAGGCTTGGATGCCTTGCTTGGACTTAGAGAGGAGCTCTGCATTTAATGCGGTTTTCCTGAAGCTCCCGGGGAGTGGCTCGGCCTTGGGCTCTGTGTTCAGGGTGGAAAGCAAGGACCCAGAAGGCACCCACCGGCCTGATCTCTAGGAGTGCGGGTAACACACACCCACGCTGGTCTGCAAAACCCACATCATCACCACCCAGCTCCGCAGGGGGGGCCAGAGGTGGAGACAGTTGGCACACGTTAGTTTAACCACACTGACAATAACCTTAGAATAAATTAGTAGATGTATAATTACTGAGCCAAAGATTATGAATTTCAATGTAATTGAGCCATGTTACTAAGTTCATTTCTGCAAACTGTATACTTATGACTTATATTCTCATTTAATTGGTAGAAACCATCTTCTCCATCCTTGACAATTTGGGGTAATAATTTAAAAAAAAATTTGAATGCCATGGAATTACATGATTGTTCTGCGGCAACTCTCTGTGGGTCTCCTGCATTTTGCATTTCTTCCTGTCTCGTATTAGTTTTGTTCCAGCTGTTGTTGCAAAGACATTTGTATAGCAAACTGACTTAGAAGATAGTGTCTCCCTCTGGGGCAGAGGGCACACTTATTTGCTAACCATCTGCCCTTTAACTAGGAGTAAAGGTAATGTATTTCCCCAGGTGCAAAGATCAGGCAGGTATGGCAGTAGCCCTGAACTGGGGATTCCTAAATTTTGAATTCTTCAGCTGTGAAACAAAGCAAATCCTGCGTGTGTGTGGTATGCCCTGGGCTGCTCTCCATGCCCCTACCCCCACCCCAGCGCCTGGAGGAGCAAGGAGAAGCAACGCAAATGTGAAGCTCATGCTCCTTGCTGTGCTGGGAGTGATAACGTCCTTTGTCTCTGACCTAGGAACCTCATGTCTTCTGCCAGCATCCATGACATGGAGGAGGCTCACTGGTTAGCTTGGAGTACAGTCCAGGACACTGCAGTTCTTAGCGGTAACTTTGGAGCTATCAGGGCTATGCAGGTTTTCTTCTGGACGACAGGGGCTGTGCAGGCGACAGGAGCAGCTCCTATGGGGGCACAGGTAGATTCGGGAGGGATTTGGAGAGAACTTGCTTCTGCTTGTGTTTGGTGACTGTTTTGCTGGTTAGGAGGAGGATGGAGGTGAGCGAGTCTGGAAGTGGGGAAGGCAGTGGCGAGACAACCAGTGAGGAAGCGGTGGTCATCGGCCACGAAAGGAAGTGCACGCTACAGAAGGAGGCTCAGAGAACCAAAGGGGCCCTGGACCGGGTAAAAGGACAGCCCTAGTGGAGATGTTCCAGAGTAAATATCCTCCCCGTACGCAGGAGGCAAGTCTAGGCTAGACATGGTGTTTTAGGAGACAGAGTACACGTGTTAGTTTAAGCCTTGGGTGGGTTGGTATTGGAGAACAGAGGGGATCCTGAGGCTTGGAGAGGCCAGGCAGTTGATACAAACTAGCGAAGTGGACCAGGTGTGAAGTTTCCCCCAAGAAGCAGTAGGTTCTGCAGACCTGCTATGACATATGTTTCCTTTACATTGAGGAGAGCCTTTACTTGCTGTCTACAACATTTCCATTCAAGTGCTTCAAGGTAGCTCTAAATGTGCCGACAGAGTGTATAATGGAGAGCAAAGGGAGTCTGGATTTTCACTTTGAGATTCTCTCCTCAGACCTCACAGAGTCGCCTCGCTGCGAGACACCTCTTGGTGTCCCACGCTCTAAATGACTTGTAAAGAAAGAAAAATGTCAGATGAAATGTGAGAATGCTTACGTCTTTATACTTTTTTTTAACAAAAAAAAATACTGCAAAAGCATGCCTAAGAAAGCCCCAGGCCTTATCCCTAGGACAAAGTTAAAGGTAAGGACATGTAGACATGCGTAAGTTAGCAAAAAATGCTGAGGCCGTTTCCTTTCTTGTAATCTGGCTTGGCCGACAGAGCGGAGTGTGGTCAGCACCGTCTGGACGGAGGCAGTGACGTGACAGGGGCTGGCTGCGAGGGCGCGTGACGCAGTGTTAATGTTTGCTTCTCAAAACAGAAATTGTAAACGTTTTTGCGAAAGAAAACTCAAGACAAATGTTACTAAATATTCATGTTTAACAGCTATATTTATAGCTCACTTTCCTTCTGTTGTTTTTTAAAGATTTTTTTTTCCTTCACCTTTGGATTATAGTTTATGTGTAGAATTTACGCAGGACATGGTTTTCTCCTACTGTCATCTTCGTCTCTAAATTGCATTCTTATGACTATTTTTTTTAAGCCCCCATCTCCTGGCTGGCGTAGCTCAGTGGATTGAGCGCGGGCTGCAAATCAAAGTGTTGCAGGTTCGATTCCCAGTCAGGGCACATGCCTGGGTTGCAGGACACGGCCCCCAGCAACCGCACACTGATGTTTCTCTCTTTCTCCTTCCCTTCCCTCTCTAAAAATAAATAAATAAAATCTTAAAAAAAAGAGGTCTTCCTTAATCCCCTTTAAAAAAACACACAAAAAAGCCCCCATCTACTGTCAACGTTAAGGTGGAAGGGGAAGATTCGGTGAGTCTGATGGGTCCTCGGTGTGATGTCGGGGACTCTTCACTCAAACAGGCTCCGAAGAAACATGGACAGCTGTTTTCCTCTGCACGAGGAAGGCAGGCAACATACGTTTTCATTCCACGGGAGTAGGTTGTTACTTATATTTGGAAATAGCACTGCTTTAGGAACTGTCTATAATTATCAATTTACACCCACATGCTTTTGTTCTCTACAATGTTTTTGTGTATCAGAAATATTCAGAACGTGAAATTACATGGAAAAAACCCTTAATTTTTGTCCCAAGATTGTATAATTTTTGAATTCAATGATGAATTAGGTTTAAAGGATGTCTTGTTACTACAAAACTAAAAAGAAAAAAATGAAAGATAACTGAGTGACACATATAACTTAGCCCCTGTGAAGAAAACAAATACCACCCAGGACATTAAATTCAGTATTTCAAAAGTACAAAAATCCAAAGGTACAGAGAACGGTCAGTCATGGAAATGTGGTGAATCACCACTACCCGGAGCCACGCCCTGCACAGACCATACGGCAAAACAAAATGTTTTAACTAAATGTGGTTTGGAGAAAGGTGGACCTCTCTAGAGGAAACACATTAATTCACACTGAAAGTAACTTGGTACTTTATAAACTTTATTAAATAATGAGCATTACTTTCATTAACTTATATACAATATTTAAACTATGTTTTCTTAGATGCATTTGTTTTGTTTTTTTTTTGCACAAAGAATAGAGTAGGTGAAAAGTGAGCTGATAAAAAAAGTTGAACCTTCAGTACACAGACCTAATAGAAATGTGACATGGTTTGAAGTACATACACCCCTTCTTCAGTTATATACAGCCTCACCCACCTCCAAAACGAACTATTCCAAACAAAAGCACTTAATTGATAACTTTGAGGAAAAATACAAACATGAGTTTATATATATACACACACAGCTCCCAAAATCTGCATCCTGGGGACAGACGCCATCTACAAAATTAGAGCTCTGTCCTAGAAACTAAAGAGGACCATGTAGACGTTCTCTGGAGCAAGCCGTCCACACTGGCCGTGGGGCGTGTTCCCACAGGGCATATCAGAGCTGTCGGCGAGACCCTGGTGTTAAGAAGGAATCATTTCCGAGAAACATGGACACTGCAGAATTTTGGTGGCAGAAAGGAAAAGGCAAAGTGCGAGACCGCATTCCTGGGATGACAAGAGTCAGGTGACTGTGTTTTCCGCGCACTGACAAACACCCCCAGCAAGTCTAGGAACATGCCTTCTCACAGTGCCGGTCTTTTCTGATACTGCTGATCTTGAAAACCCCTACCACATGCAAAGAAAGGGATGGAAAGAAGAAAGGTTTCCAGAAGCATGCCATTTAGTGTGGACTTCGTTTTTTATAAGCGACAAGAAGCAAGAACAGTGTGGAGAAGCAAGAAACCTGGGTTCCTTTTTGTTATTGAGAAAGAAAAACGAATGCCTTAGGGACCTGTGTGTACAGTAACGGTGGTAACATTTTGTGTTTTACAGTTGAGAAAAAGAGGCACAAGACTTAAAAGGGGGGAAAGAATGAGGATAATTCAATGATAAGATGTCCCTGATACAAATCGATACCCTTGCTCACCTTCAGGTGAAAAGCCCAGACCCCTGGCCCTACTCACACTCTCCTCCTTTCACAGTGAAAACTGGGCAGGGCGGGGAGGGAGGCTGTGAAACTGCTCCAGGGGAGGCTGCAGGAGCCGCTGTGGCCCTGACCGGAGTCTTCACTGAACTGGTGTTTTTTTTTTTTTTTATAAAGGAACATCGGGCCCGACTTCACGCTCCTCTTCAGCGTCGTAGATTTCGCCTTCTACTCACAAGGTTTCGCTTTCGTTTGTAGTTTCCCTCTACAGAGAGTTACGTTAACCCGACCTACCACACAACGGCGATGTAAAGACCCTAGTCACAGCATGAAAGGTGCTTTTAGCCAGAACTCGTCAACCAAAGATGCCCTTCCTGTATAGCCTCAGAACAATGAGAGAAGGCGCCCCCACGCTATGTCTATGTCGGCTTTAGGGAACAGATTTCACTGCGGTGGGGGAAATCCTCCAGGCTGAGATGAGGTCACTGGGCTGAGGACAAAAGTCAGGAAAGGACATGTGAAAAACGGCTCTAAAAAAGGGGAACTTTAAAGTGCTTTTTTGTATTTTTAGCTTGTGGTTTTACTTCAAGTTGATGAGAGCCAGGCACAAAAAAACAGTCAGACCAGTCCTGTTGGTCCCAGCCCTCCCACTGATACCTGAGCAGGTAATCCAGCTGTTCCCAGATGTCAGCCCATCTTTCCTAACGGTTGAGTCAACTTGCATTCTCTTGCCCTTGGTTTTCTTTAAGCCGTCGAAGGAATCACTTGTTATACCCTAGAAATCATAAAATAAATGCGACGAGCAGCACATTCTTCAGGCTTTTCCAGGAACCCTGGTAAAGATTTTTGTTTCTGAAAATCGGTCTCGTTACCTTCTGATTCCCAGTAGTTACACAGGTTCTGCGTTACAATAAACGGATGCAGGAAAACCAGACTCGAATCCCTGAAGTGGGCACCATGGGCTAGACTCCAGTGAGAGCTTCAACTGTTCTAGGGTCCTGCCACAAATGAAACGAGAATGCCAGATATGATAAGCACAATCCTTTAAACAGCTTTAGTTTTCTTTTAAAAACAGGGGAAAGCTCCCCTGCTGCCTTTGGGCCAGTCCTAAGACGTAACTACTCGTGGCTTCTGGATAATAAGAGAAGCATATTGCATTTCTTACAGTCTGGGCACTATTGTCAGAAGATGGGAAAAGAGATATGGCCATCTTATTAAAAAAAAAGAAAGAAAGAAAAGAAAAAAAGAAAACCTAGACATTTTCAAGTAAGACCGACGCACGTGAAACGCGAAGACGACCAGCATCAGAAAACACAGCAATGCTGACTGACATGGCTGCAGTACAGTCCGGGCCGGGTCATCGCCGGTCGGAGAAGTTGTGCTGTGGAAGGAAGTACATTTATTTACACCTCTGGCGGTTACAAGACTGTTCAGGCCGGTGCACAGAAAACGCCCGCCAGGCTCCGGGACTCGTGAGCGCTGCAGGGAGGCAGTTCGGGCGGGCGGCCCCTGCTGAGAGCCTAGGCAAAGCTGCTGGAACTAAGACACTGGAATTTCTCCCGCAGACTCTGGACGATGTTCTGCTGATTGGGAGACGGACTCCTCCAAAGGTAGTCGTTCAGTTTGTCGGACTCGCTGTACGGTGTCAGGAAGGGTGACACCCCCAGTCGGCCGCTCACCGGCCTTTTTGCAGTGCTCGGACTGTGCACCGAGTAAGGCGCGTCCTGGCGGCGGACACCATCGGGCAGGCCGGCGTCCGCCGCCTCCGGCTCCGGCTTCCTTCTGCGGCTGTGGGACGCCTCCAACTCCGACTCGTCCTCTTCGGACTTGATTTCCACGTAGTCATCTTCGTCTCCTTCCGTCTCTTTGAAGTTGGAAAAATAGTTCTGGGTGGCTATTTGCGCATTTAAGGGTAAATTTCGATTGACGACCAGAACTTTCTGTGAGTCTTGGAGAGTGAGGTCTGAGCGTTTCCCAGGCCCCTGCGGACAGGAGTCGCCCGCGCCCGCGCCCACGCCCGGCAGCAGCTCCTGGTGGCTCTCACACCTGGAGCTTCTGTGTACAGACGGCAGCTGCTTGCTCCCCGTCTCGTGGGGGTAGTTGATGGAATCCCCTGACTTGTTTATCAGGATGGAGGACGACGACTGGGACCTGTTGTAAGGCTGGGCTTTCGCGCCGACCCCTTTCCGGCCCAGAGAGTTATAAAGGTGGCCCTGACACGCGCTGTCTTTGTTGGGCTGGCTGACCACCACGCTGTGTCTCTGCAGGGGCCCCAGCGGGCGGTCAGCCGTCTGAAGGGAAGGCACCGAGCAAGCCGGGGACAGGTGTCGGGGAGTGCTCTTGGTGTTGATCTCCAGAGTGGGGTATTTGGGCTTCGAGGTTTGCTCCGGCGGAGGACAGAAATCTGCTAATTCTCCATTACTGTAGGTTGAATGCAAAAGCCAGTCCTCACTCCCGCGCTGGGCCCGGGAAGGTGACGCAGTTCTGAGGTTGGGGGATTCTCGAGGGCTGGCCCAGCCGTCCTTCGGAGTCTTAAAGGGCGACTCTCTGAATACAATCTGGTCATACAGTTGGGAATACTCAGCAATCCTGGCACCTGGGAGGCAAATATCAAAACAAAAACATATACAAGATTATTCCTACATGAGAAGATTAAAGAAATAAGAACATAACTTTCCAACCTATTTTAAAAATTTAAATAGTCGACAGGACTTTTTAAGTTTGAGGATGACTAACCATTGACTACTAAGCAACACAAGCTAATAAAATAACCCACAGTTTAATAAATAAAAGTGCCACCTAAAAGTTCATTTAATTTGAGCTAACTTTAGATGATTTTATTTCAACAGTAGGTCTGTGTTTGCTATTTGTTGTGAAAATATCTAGTGTTCTTTATAAGCATGAAATAGTGTCAGTGCTAAAAACGGACATCATAAAAATAAGGAAGTCAGCGCTAAACCCAGGCCAATGAAAAATACGTAGGCACAACAAGAAACTGACTGTACTCCACCACGCAGTGGCCACCCCTGGCTCCTCACCAGCCTTCACTGCTCTCAGACAGCTACTCTCAGAAGAACCTGCTCTCTCTGCGTCTGTTCCCAAACTCCTGGTTTCCAGGCAGACCCTCCACAGCCCCTGTCTGGGGAGACAGTGTCCGTGGGGGGGGCCTCTCTCTCAGTACTTCAGAACTGCAGGCACTGATGGACCCGTCTGTCCTTTCCCACCCCCAAGAAGCTGGGCCCTGAAGTCTGTGCTTCCAAGACATTAAGGATGAACGATCTGTGCGTGTAATCGATACCCTACTGCCTCTCACACTGGTTCCAGAACAGGATTTGCCCATTAGTTCCACAAAAGCCATTGCCACTTCAAAGTGATCTATGGGGCCATTCTCTGCTCCCCTTCTGAGTGCAGACTTTTCTAAAGACATTCATGGAGCCTTACTATGAATAGAGCATTCTCTTGGGCCAGGAATGATTTAAGAGAGAGAGCCCAGAGATGTCAATTTCAAGAGCAGTTTCCCTCTGAACCCCCAGTCAGGTACCCCCGTGGCTACCCTAGAATCAAAGAGTTCCATGTACCCTATAACCCTCAGACCACATCTCCGTGGTCTCTAAGGAGGGACTCTATCCCATGTAGGACAGTCAGCAAGTGACATTATATTCTCTTCTTCTTTAAGCTATTTATATTTTTAGTAAACTGTTGTTAGTAAATTATTCCATAATTTAAACTAAATTTTTAGTTCAATTTCTGCCATTTCTCTTGAGTCTATCTTCTGCGAGGACAGAAAACAGCCTGCTGTTATTCCGGGTGCCCTTTAATTACAATCCCCTCACATTACTTGCTCCTTGGTCCCCCAAATCAGGGTAAACAATCTCTTTAACTTCTCATTATAGGTTCTACATCAATTCGTTTAGGTTTTCAAATCCAAGTTCCTAGGAATGACAGAGGTTATTAGCTTAGACTTTCTAGTAATAAATGCTTGACTATTACACCTTCCATAAAGGGCATAGTAACAACTCTCAAATACCAATTAAGACCTGACAACCCCTTAGGAGACTGAAAGTCTACACAGGCACCAAAGTCCCCATGTTAGCCATCCTGGAATCTGTAGTACTTATTACATGTAGTATATATTTATAGATATATCCTGAAATCTATATTTATTACATACATAATATACATAATGTAATATTAACTATGAAACCCAACAAAGGTAGCTGAACCTTTAGACGTAGTCATTGCTTAGCAGTCCCACCTGCAAGTCCGAGGGTTCTGCCCAAGCCATTCTCACCCACACGAGGGCCCTGGGCCGGACCCACAGCTGACCTGGGAAGGCTCTCAGCTTTCACAAGGTTCCAAGAAGATAACAACTTTGAGGAACGCAGTGAGAGCTAATTAAAAAATTCGCTCACACTATTCTGTACCCAGAGGTAACCACAGAGTCTTGTAAGAACAATTAGTTCTTGACTTTAGAACACCGTGGCTCAGATAATCTGAAATCATGTGTCATCCAAAATATTTGTAGTATTTCCCATGCCTTTTTCTCCCTTATTACACTCTTCTTCCTTTGCTTGATAAAGTCCTCTTTATCTCTCAAAACCTTTCATAAGCCCTACCCCTTCCACGAATCTTCTTCTGATTTCTCTTCTCTGAAGTCTTATATACTTCGTATGCACTTGCATATACTTACTGTGCAACCAATAGTAAGTTATTGGTTGTGCACAAATATGCATACCTGCCTGCATGCACACACTCTTGTGCTGCTTGTTGTTTCATATGGGTGAGTTTATTATTCCAGCTAGTCCGCCAGCTTTTCATCTTGGGGAACAATCCCTACAGAGCCCCACACATAGCTGAAGACAGAAACGGGTCTCAGGAGCTACTTCATCACTCAGATAACGTCTGGACTGCCTCCTCCCATGTTCAGCATGGTGTGAAAACAGACGTGCCTCCCCTAAGACCATGCCACCGAGAGCGGAAAGGCAGCCTCGAGGTCGGGGGTGTAGCAGGACACGAGGAAGATAACCTCTGGTTAAAACACTCCCTACAGGTAACTCATAATGCATACAGTTTACTTTTGGATAATAAAACAGTTGGCCATTTATAAATTCGGAATAAAAAGTATCTCGCAGGTAGACAATATACTGTGTCTGTCCAAGTTTTGTTTTGTTGTTGTTTTGGTCTAAGCTCGACCTTCTAAGAGTGACTATAACTTGCTTGATGCCAGTGTGAATGAGAGAGAAGCTTCTAGAGCAACAGCTGTCATTAGATTTCCTGAGCCAGATGTGTAGGAAACAGCCAGCCCAAGATGACACCAGCCTAAAAAGCTTAGTGTCGGCCAGCGGGATCAAAGTCTGCCCCATCCTGGGTCCTGCCCTTACAGTCTGTATAGAACCTGCACATTATCACTATGTGACGACCCCAGGGCTTTCTCTGGTTTCTTTTGTGAGTGAGTGTAAAAGGTGGGACTTTTAATGATTCCAGATAAAAATGTGAAGGGATGCTTGTTGACAGAAGTATGAAATACACTGTTTTCAAGACAGAGGATTAAAATCAGCATGTCTGGTATTGCTGGAGATGTAGAAGGAAGCGTAAAGTGCTCTTTGGCCTTCCCTACTTTGCCCAAGGAGGAAGATTTCTCGAGCCTGAATGGCGTTTCCTCCCGTGTAAACATCTCAGAAAAGGGACCCCCAGGCCTCGCCGGCCTCAGAGGATCTCAGGAGGAAGCCAACAAGCTGCATCGCGCTCTAAAAGGTGGGAGTGACTAGACCTGGTTGGGTGAGTTCTGGGCGGATCTGACCCGGGGCCTGTAGACCCCGGCTAGGGAGTTCAATAAAGGTGCTCGAGAGTCTCAGCAGGTGAATAGCGTGCTCCTCCTTCCGGACAACACCGAGAGCAAGCTCCTGGCAAAGTGGCAAGGCCCACACGAAGAAGTCTGGAGAAGCAGTCCGTTCGATTACGATGTCCTGTGCCCAGATAAACGAGAGAGAGAAAAGGAGTCGTCACGTCAACTGATTGAAAGCCTTATGGGCACAGGAAGCGGTCTCCATCCACCCAGGTGGAAGATTCCTCAGGTCGGAGAGGCGCGAGGCCCGGGGACGACTCCGCTCTCGGAAGATGACGCGGGCCAGAGCTTCTCCTCTTTGTTGGGGAGACCCCGACAGCAGCCCACCAGGTCCAGAGAGGACCCAGGCACAAAGCCGAGGAAAGAGTCCGTGGGAATCCCAAGTCACACCCGCAGGCAAAACAAAAAGGAGAACAAACCGAAAGTGAAAAGCGAAAAGAAACCACAAAGGGAAATCCATTCATACTTGTAAGAAGGGTCCTACAGGAGACTGTTCGAGGCAGCTAGCTACAAGCCATAGGCTCAGTGCTTCCGTCAGGGCTGAGCTTTGCATGTGAATGGATGGTCTGTGTTCGAAACCACCAGGCTCAGGGGAGGGCCACCTCTTAACCAAGTCTGCCGGCATAGAGCGTCAGCATGAGAAGCTTCAGTGTCTGGTTTTCTCTCATTCTGAGGAGCCCCAGCCCAGATTCAGTCCGTGGGTGCCCCGCTAACTCACTACCAGTCCCAATGCCACCTGTGCCCCCCAAAACAGTCCTTCTGCAGCTGGAACCGAGCCACGTTCTCCAGGAACACCAACAAAGCAGCCAGGCCATCTGGCGTTGCGAAGGGGACACGGATTAAGTCAAGCGGATTACGGCAAAGAGAAATACATGCGATCCAGCCTCTCTCACATTCGTACAAAAGTCACCTTTAACCTTTATTTAAAAAGAACATCTCAAAGAGAGTCTGCACAGTTTTCCAGGTAACAGGTCCAGGGCCTCACTTCCCTGTCTGTTCAGAAATGTTGTTACATGATTAGCTCTAGGAAACGAGTAGAGCTTTAGACAATTTATAAATACTCTTGAAATTGAAACAAAAAAACAAACAAAAAAAGTTCCCTATAGATTCGTGTCATGTAACTTGTAGATTCCTCTAGGACTCGGATATCCCCGTCTTATTCTCCAGTTTCCGTGAAGATAAAGAAACCAGTCCCCAAAAAGGAGGACAGTGGCGTCCACCGGGCAGAGAAGCCACGTGGCCACCAAGCTCAGCATCTGAACGCAGCCTGACCCTGAGCCGTTGGGCTTTCACTTTGAGTTGGAGAACTGTCTCCTCTCATTTGCTACTACAGCGGTCCTTTGTTGGAAAATCTAGGGCAGGGAATCCTCACCTATGACTGAAAGGCCACACTGGTTTAAAATGCTACGTCCTGGGCCCACCCCCAGAAATCTCTCTGGATCTGGAGGTGAAAAGGTCCTCAGGTGAGAAAGCCAGTGGCTGGTGGGGCGGGGAGAGGGGGGGTTCTTCTCGTGACAGTTGCGTGCTTTATTCTCGTCTCTGCTCCACCACCCAGATCGGTGTTAAGTTTTGTTCTCCGGGGCGCTCTCTAATTTAGCCAGGGGTACGCACTTCTTCACAACTGAGAAAGAAGTCAAGCCATGACCTTCTCATTCCCCCGGTCCTCACCGTCCCAACATCACACCTGAGGTCCAGGTTTAGTTCTGCCCCACCAAGGAGGCTGGACTGAAAGAATCAAACTTCTTGGAAGCATGTGTGAGAATCCCAAACGCACTATATGCATTGGTGTTAAGTGCATCATAGCAGCTATTTAAAAAGAAAAAAAAAAAAAAACAACTAGTAACCAGAACACATGAGAAAACAACTGAGTGATAGGATGAACAGGTAAAAAAAAAAAAAATGCAGAAAGGATTCCTTTTTGTCTGTTAGGCCAAGTAGGGACTTTTGTTGGGATTCTGGAGCAAGGAGCTATTTCATTCCTTAAGGTTCCAAACCGTCAAAGCTCACGGGAGCTGCTCCTCCAGGCATACTGATGCAAGGGGAAAAGCCCGAGATGCCGCAGGTGAGACTGACCGCCATTTCCCACGGTTCAGATTACGTTAGCGAAAAGTCTCCAAACATCGAATCTGCGGTGACAATGACACGTGCACAACAAAACCCTCTGGGACCACGTCACGCTCCGACTCACGTGAGTCAGTGAAGTGCGAAAGGGTCCGTTGCTTGCTGGTGAAGGGAAACAGACTTTGCCACCCCAAAATATCCCTTTGGGGATGTTGACTATTTTAAGCTGGTTATTTTTTTAAGGAAAGGGAGATACCGGCAAAAGCTTTGACCTCCCCCCTAACTTCCTAGAAAGAATTTAGATAAAGGACCTGCTTCCGGAAGGGAGCCATCATTATATAGTTTAGTAAAAACTAGTGACAGACAGCAAGGAAGCTACCGAGGCCCATTTGTTCTAAGTCCTCTGTGTCCACGTGAACGATGGCTCCCCAGACATGCATTTACCAAACATCCCTTTTCTCCGTGTGCAGGGCCTCCCTGCCCTTTCAAATCCCCAGCCACGCCCCCTCCCCTGCTTTCTCCTTAGCTCCATCCAGAATGACATGTAAGCCTCAACTGTCTAACGTGCCCTTGAGTCTCATGTTCTTAAGGCACCCCCACACATATGACTACGGCTGTAATAAATTGCGGACATTTTCTGATTACGAGCCCAGCCAGAAGAACTCGCAGAGCTGGGAGGAAAATTAGATTTCTGACAGCCCACATCAGTGACCCCGCGGTCTCCCTCCGAGAGAAGGCACATTCGAGTGGCACACTTCTCCCGGTCTCAGGGGACCTAGCGCCTCAGAGCTGCTCTGGCATCTGCCCTTCGAGAAGGCGGGAAGGCAGTGGGAGGAACGTACCGATGGCTGGCCCTCCTTGCTTCTTGTCTTCCAGGATGGCTGCCAGGTCTTTGGGCGCAGACTTCTGCTGCTGGCCGGCCGGCGGCTGCTCCAACTCGGGGCTCTTCACTTTCAGCAGCTGGTTTGCCTTCTTGATCTTCTGACTGTACTGCCTGGCCATCATAAACACTCTGCTTCTGGTCTTGTCTGTGGCGTCCGCCCCGGGGTCCGGGATGTCCAGGTCAGTCTGGGACAGACTGCTGTTGGCCAGGTCGTAGGGGTTCTCCACGGGAGGCACTTCGCTGGCCAGCGGGAGCGGGTTCAGGCTCAGGAAGGAGCCCTCTTTGGACAGGAGGTCTTCGTCCAGGGGGCAGCTGGCCCGGCTGGCTCTGCCGGGCCTGTCCTGCGGCGGCGTGAGGAGGGCCTGGCGCTCGGGGAGCGAGAGCGTGGACAGCGCCCGGCCCGCGTCCCGGCTCAGCTCGGGCGTGCTCTCGGCGTGCCGCCGCTCCTGCACGTCGTCTTTGCCGACGGGGAAGGCTGCCAGGAGCCGGTCTCTAGCCTTGACTTCGTTTTTCTTGATGTAATTCTCCAGGTCATTCCAGATTTCGTCTACTTCCTCAGAGAGTCTGTCCGATATAGACTGATCGGCGAGAGGCAAGTTGCAGCTGAAAGAGTTGTACAGCAGACTCAGGTAGTCGTTGCTGTCGGAGGGGCCCGGGTGGCTGGGCGTCTCGTCCTCGCTGAACTGCAGGCTGTCCTGGGACACGAAGGGCCTCAGGCTGTCACAGCAGGCGAAGTCGGCGTCCAGACCCAAGAAGGTGCTCCTCTTGGGACGCTGTAGGCTGCTGCACTTGAAACCCAGCGAGGGCGGGTCCGGGAGCCGGATGGTGTCGTAGATGTTCTCCTCCACCACCTCGAGGTCATGGGTGCTTTGGTTGGCCGCCTCTCGCCCTGTCAGAGGTGGGTCTCTGTCTGTGTGCACAGAGCTCTTCCCGTGGCCAGCTAGGCTTTTCGAGAAGGCTAGCTCCGGGGTGCTCTTGGGTCGGACAGAGTCCCTGGTTGACTTCGGGGGAGTGGATTCAGCTTCTTCCCGTTTAGCGACCATGACTTTCAAGTCCTCGTAACTTATGTTGTCATAGACATGGTTTATGTCATCAAGGGTCAACTCTATAGACGACCCAAAAGGAGTCATTGAGTCCTGCCCTTCAGTGTTAGGGCCGTTCTGCAGTTCCCTGCGGGGACTGTACGGAGAGCCATCGCTGTCCCCGATTCGTATTTCAGGAGGGCACGTGTTGCTCTCGCCGGCACTGCTAGCTCGCCTGACAACCCTGTGGCCGGCACTGGTGGTCTCCGTGCACTCGATCTGTCCCATGTGCCAACTGCAAGGGCGACTCGAAGTGCCGTCTTCACACAGTCTGGCAGAGTTCAAGTCCGAAGAGGAAAAGGATGGCACGAACATCTGGTAATCATCTTCATCGTCCTCGTGCTCCTGTGGGGACCGTCGACTGGGAAACAGGGCTTGCCTGATCTGGTGGTCCGTCCAGATGTTTCTGACGGCTCCACCCCCGCGAAGCACGCTGAGGATGGCAGGACCGCTGGCCTGACTGCCCCTCTGGGCTGGAGACGGCGCTGCCGAAGTCCGCTGGGGAGACCGCGGCTCTCTGGACACCTGAGGAGGACGGAAACACAGCGATTGAATTGCAGCACCGTGGACACATCACTTACAACGTTCTCCTGCATTTACACGCGGCCCCTCCCACTAGACTGTGAAATTCATAAAGAAAATGATCAGTAAACATGTTGATTTTAACGGAGTTGAAAAGCACTTCAGATTTTTTTTGCAAAAGGGGCAGAAAGGACAGGGACTGGTATTTACTTAGAAATGAGCTAGGCCATTTGCAGGCACCCTCCAGACCTGATGTTCGCAGTCACTCTAATTAGAGACGATGGCACCAGTTTCACAGGAAGGACATCTATGCTCATGAGAGCTCAATAGCTTGCTCCCAGTAGTCAGTAGAAAGGCTGGGACTCAACCTCCGGTCTGACTCCAAATCCCTTACCCCAATGCAGGGAACCAGCTAACCACAGAAACTTCTTAGCTACTGCCAATAATTCCGATGAGTGCTTGGCACATAACATATAAATGCACATATATAGACATCAAGGGCCATGGTATCCAGTTTGTATTTGAGGCTTGACTCCTAGGAGTCTGAATGCGGCGTTCGGTGTCCCAGGATCCCGTCAGTGATCCGACTGCACGTCCCCAGGGCTTCCCTCAAATCTGCAGACCTGCCGTGAACCCGGCTAGTGCTGCCTTGGTTTACAGGTTCTAGGCAAAGCCTTTGCTGCAGGCATGTAGTTTAATCTACCGTTGAGCTGCTGACACTTTTACTTACTTTCAGAATACATTTAATGAAGTAATACTTAGATGCTTGTTAGGAAGTAAAGTGTGAGTGACATTAATGATGTCCAATCAGAGAACATAATGGGGTCTTTTATAACTTATAGATGGGTCTCACTACTGTAGACTGGGAGTGGGTTGCCCGCTGAGGTCCCTGTAGGATACAGATTCGCTTTGAAGAGCTAATTTGGAAGGGCTAAGATCCGTTCAAAATAATTACTATCAGGGACATATTTTCTGATCAAAACACTGCCGTAACCTATCAGAAATGTCAAAGGAGCAAGAATTTTTCATTACTTGTCAACGAGACTGGGATACACATGGCCTTGGGCCATCTCCCTGTCCACATGTCTGTGTGCCTGCCTGCCTGTTTATCAGGGAGGGAAGAGAAAAGTAGGGAGGGCAAGCATAAAATCTCATCCCGGGTGTTATTTTTCTATTACAATTTTAAAACTGAAAAAAAAATCCAGTTAGTTATTTAATCTTGTGCTCATTTTTTTCCCCACAGAGTATAACTTCGGACCCTTCGAGGTCTAGGAATAAATGAATGCACATACATGGGCATGTGCGTGCACACATGGGCCTATGTGCACACACATGGACATACGTGCATCCATGCAACTATACATGGTCTTCCATTCACGTCTCTGTCTTCTTCACCCTTCGGTACTCCTCCCCTTTAGTCTTACCCAGACCGCACTGGTATGTTTATAAAATATAGGTGCCTAGTAACTACTTTTATAAATAAAACAAGTTAGTGTTAACTAGCTAACTCACAGCAAAACACTTTGAAAGTATAGTAAAACAATTTTGTAGACAGCCAAAAATAACACCATCTTAAAAATCATCCCAGAAAAATCCCAAGACATCTTAGATACTTAGGAAACCTGAACTGGCAATATCAAAGTGTATTTTTAAGGTAAGTACACTTGAGATGAAGTGCTTTGAGATAGCAGTACTCTGGAAGCTGAACTGTTACATCCAGTACATCGTCAGGAGAGCGGAAGGAGCTCTTAGGTTAAGAAACAATCAGTGTGTGGACTGCGCACAACCTAGAAGCACGGAGGTTAGATCCCCGAGTCTCACTGGAGCCACGGCGAGCCTTCCGCCCCTGGTCCTCCACACCCTCAGCATTGTGGCTGTTTAATAATAATACAACAATAACTGTCACTTGTGAAGCACTTGCTTTGTGCCAAATATTGTACTGAGCACTTTTAAAAACATCATCACATTTAAACTTCATAATAATTCTGTAAATTAGGAAACTAATTTTTGGTCATGTTAGCAGCCTGCCTGTAGTCACAGAGCTCGTCAGTGGCAGAACTGGGTGTGCGTCCGTCTTAATGCACAGCCTCTGTGTGCGCCTAACCTTTCTCTCTGCCCCCTCCATCTCTCTCTCTCTCTCTCTCTCCCCGTGTGTGTACGCATACACACATATACACATGGCATGGGAACAGACATTCTGGGAGAAATGATAAGATATTATTAAGGACTATGCCCTGTTAGGAACTCTTTAGTCATCCTTAATCTGTTCTCCTTGCATTTAGCATTTGTGTCCATACTATTCGCAGACGGAATTTGAGCACTAAGCAAAAAGTACATTGGTGCTTTAGTTCCCTTTTGTCTTCAGATTTCATGGGATTTAGCTATTCCCCTTATAGAAACTTGGCTTGATCTCTATTGTAGAAATTTCCCAAGAAGCTGTTGAGATTGCATCTCTGGGTCTGATAGAGTGGGCCCCTCACCACCCCCGGGGCCTGGCTCCACCTCAGTTCGCCGCCTTAAAGAGCCAGGCACCGCCACCCCCCTTTCCCCTCCAGCATTTGTTTATGAAAACAAACTAGGTTAAAAAAAATCAAAATCTCGTGTCATATTTCAGGACAATCAAACAATTAATGTTGATACGTTTTAAAAGCATGCAAACAAAAATATGCACTACCTGAAGAACCCTCCCTGCCCTAACTTTCAGAAAAATCACTGAGAGATAAGACTGTATTGATTTTCAGACATTTAATGGGATCTAACCTAAAGCTACAGCCTTTATTAACAGGGTCACTCTGGCCGTGTGCTAAGGCGTGGTGTAAGTGACAGTTATGTCCTTGTAGACATGGAGCGTTGAGGAGAAAGTCATGATTGCTTCTCTAAGAACCGTTCATTGAGACAACGGATCAGGAGCCATGTGGTGGGGCACGGTTTACTTCGGTCAGGGTGCAGCAGCTACACTTCCTAAGTCATAAATCCAGATAAACATCTTCCAGTGGAACATGCCGTGTTTTACTCCCCCCTCCTAACTTTTTATCGGAGGAAGAAAAATCAGAAGTTGTTGTAGCAAAATTGCGTGGTATGACACAGGACCCCACCTCTTACACCACCAGAGGGCCATGTTCTTAGCAGGGGACCTTTGTGCCTGAAGGCTAAGGCTTGGAGAAGGGAGCCATACACAGGATGCAAGAACCTCAGTCTTACATGTGCAGAGGCACAGGGCGACGTGGGGTGTACAGCTGTCATGACCTAAGGTAACCTTAGGGCTTCTGAGAGGCGGGGCGGAGGGATGAAGGAAGGATTGCCCTAGTTCTGAGAGATGCAGCTGGGAGAGATAATAAAGATGCGTCCTCACCTAACTCTCCTTCCAAATGTGAAATAATTCTTTACATTTGGAACACAGGCTGGAGATGAGATATATAAGGGTACCGATAAAAATAAACGTTTCAAAATAAGGAACGTAAGAGCACTTACCTTTTGGATGTCTTGTGCTGTTCCTGAAAAATAAAAGTTACTGTTTTAAGTCTGTGGCTTAAAAATGTATCTCATGTATAAGTACTCATATTTTATAGGACTTTTACACTTATGGCTCATAATTAAAGCCCAAGAGGTCTTCTGGGCCCTTTGGACCTGATTTTCAGAACTGCTACACAGTTATCTTGGTTGTATGCCCGGCACTATAGGTAAGACAACCTTACATCCACCAGAGAATGATCTTCCCTGATCCCTCAGAGCAATGGGCCAGTTCATGTTAGTAAGTTTCAAAAGCCACCCCCACAAATATGTATTACCTGAAAAAAAAACGCCACATAGACTTAGCCATGGAAATCATTTAAACATAAGACATTGTATTGGCTACAATGGAAAGACACAGCATGTATTGACAGGGTCACCTTGGCATTGTGCCAGGGAGTGGTGTACCTAGAATTCTGGGGATCGATTTACGGAGCCAAACCCTTACAGGGACTCTTACATGCGCCTGGATTATGTGCATTTCATCGTTAAAAGTTGCTTAATTAAAGAAGCATATAAAGGAAAAAGGGATCAAACCTTCTCCACGAATCCCAGCCAGTGGAGGTAACCGGACTTCACAGTGTGATGTTCACATTTCCAGGTCCCTTCCCGCTGCCCCCATCCCACCACAAAGCTAAGTGTTTGTTTTTAAAATAAAGGTGCAACGTGAAACATTGCATTTCTTGCTAAATATATGTGGACATGCTTGTCAGTAGGTAGAGATGTGCTTCCTTCTTTCTGACAGCTGCAGAATAGTCCCTATAATGCACATTTTAAATGTAAATGGATATTACCACATTTTGCTCCAAAAAGGTTGCAGAAATTTACACATGAAGAGTTTCAAAGTGCCTGCTTTCCTGTATCTGTTGGTCAAGCTCATGCCCCCCCCCCCCATTATCTCACTTAAATGTATGACTTTTCTCATGACTAACACAGGTCACCATTTATAAACTTTATTGGCAGTTTGTGTTTCTTCTGTGAAACTGCCCAGTTATATTGTCTGTCTTTTAAAAAGGGTCCTATTTCTCTCCATTTTGATATATAGAATTTTTTTTTAAAGATTTTATTTGTTTATTTTTAGAGGGGAAAGGAGGGAGATAGAGAGAGAGAGAAACATCAATGTGAGGTTGCTGGGGGTCATGGCCTGCAACCCAGGCATGTACCCTGGCTGGGAATCGAACCTGGGACACTTTGGTTTGCAGCCCGTGCTCAATCCACTGAGCTATGCCAGCCAGGGCTAGAATTTCTTTTAATAATAGGCATATTAATCCTTTTATACCTGTTAACTATATTGCAAATGTTTTATATCATTTGACTTTACATTTTATAATGGGGCACTTCTACTTACATGAGGCGGTGGAGGGGGGAGACCCAAAAAACCCCCCAGAATTATCTTATGGAGGGCAGGCCCCTTGCAGTACAGTCTTCCCCACTAGGTGAGCCTTCTCAGAGCCCATCTGTGTCAGTGCACCAACTGGTGTTGTTGTGAGAGGCTGCATTAGGATCCAATGAATTCTTTTTGAAGACTCAACGCGTTAGCCCATTTCATGACAGGGGCTTTATGAGTGCACCTGCCCGCACCTCACTGAGTGTTCAGCAGTTTCTGACCCAGAGGGGCATGGCTGCCCTGCCCCACCCACCTTATTCTCCCGATTATGCCCCTAGCAATTTTTTTTTGTTTCTGTGGATGAAAAAAGTCCGCAAAGGGAGAGGTTTTGCCAATGAGCAGTTGAAAACAACATCTTGATGGATATATGGAATCATATGGAGAGTACTTTGAGCGTGACTGAGGTTGAAATATGTAAAAATAAAACCACAATTTTTTATAAATAAATCCAAGTTGTTTGGGGTCCTCCCTTGTAGAAGTTAATTCAGCCTGTCAATCTGTAATTCATCTGGTGCTTTTTGGGTGTGTAAGGCTTGATTTAGTCAACATCAACAACGAAGAAAAAGAAAAGCTATTTTAGGACTTACCACTGGTCTTCAAAACTTTATGTGATCTTGAGGAAGGTTCTGGGAGAAAAAAGAAGGCCAGTGTCATTTGCAAAACCAAATCAAGAATTTTTTTCCTCTACAAGTAAATTATTAGTTTCTGGGCAAATTATTTCAGCTCTAGACACTTTCCATCAGAGTCACCTAAGGCGCCACTGCTTGGAGATCCGTAGCGGCCAGACTCTCGCCTCATCAAAGCTGTGGGGCAAACCCTGGACTGTGTGGTCAGGAGTCACGGAGAGACACCAGCCCTGCCAACCGGCGTGGCAACTCCCTGAGCTGTAACTGCCACCTGTAACAACTGCCAGCTGATAATGTTCGACTTTATACGCTCAGGCTGGACCCCAGCCCCAAGCCTCAGGCCTCAGCTGCCGACCGCCAGTGTGGCATTTCCCTGGCGTTCCCGCAGACCCAGCAAACGCAGCAGGTCTCCGCCTGGGCTCCCCAGTCTCCCCCCACGCCTGCTCCTTCATCTGTGTTTCTTATCTTGGTTCTCACTGACTATATCCTGCAAGGTATCGACCAGGACCTTTGCCCTGCTTTCATCCATGCGTCTTGTGGGTCCTGGGAGGGCTCCACCCCACTCACTAGTGTCGTCACCCAGCCTCATCATCTCTCACCCAGATGGGAGAGACAGCTTCCAGTCTGGTCTCCCTGCCCACCTCATTTTCCGTATCCAGCCAGAATTCCGTTTTCGAAGGGCAAATATTTCATGGCTTGGTATCTTTCCGTGGCTTGCAGGATAGAGCTCCAACACTGGGTGTAGCCTACTAGCCTTCCACAGTCGGGCCCCTCTCTGATCTCTGGCAGTATGTACCTCTCTCTCTGCTTCACCTCGCCCGCCCCCACCCCCAGCTCCACCCCGTGTTCCAGCCGCTCAGAGCAACTGGTAACAGATGTCCCATCTGAGATATGCTGTCTCAAATCCCAGGCCCTCTGCGTGAGCTAGTCTCCTCCCCCATCTGCCTCCTGAGCCACTGGGTTCCATAGGGGGTGCTGTCCTCTGCTTCCCGAAGTCTGCTCTCTGCTTCCTGGAGGGCTAACCTCTCCTTGGACTCCCAAAGGAGCCTCCCATCCAACCTCTCCCGCAGCTCTACCACACACACTGGCATTTAGTCACTTCTTTGACTTCCCCACTAGACTATGAACTCCCGGCAAGCAGCAGTCATGTGCATTATTTATTCTTGCACTCTGGTCCTCGGCATGGATTAGGTAGGTACTCAGTAAACAGATTCAAATGAAAAACAGATAATGTGAGGTCTGGTTCAGCAACTGCGTGTCACAATTTTAAGTTTGATTGTTGCTATGTGTCACAGGATAAAATGTTTTCACTGGTGACGGTAAATAGGGTTTAAGTGCATGGGTGCTGATGGTAAGATGCTATGCAAAGCAAAATTACTTGATTAATACGTGTTATAATCAATGGGAAAGAGAAAGTGAGGTAGAAAAGAGTTTTAGAACAAAAGCTTGAGAGCCCTATCTTGATGCAGCCTCAGTTTTACTGGGACAGGCTGTGAACGCCAGAGCCAGAAGGAAAATGCCTTTTGGAAAGGGACTTTCATCAACAGTCCCCCCCCCACCCATACTTAGGACACTGTGATCACAATGTTCGAATTACCAGATTTTCTCCTCGGCCGGTAGGGAGTGGAAAGTGCTTTCGCCTCCCCCTCAGGGCTGTAACAGAAGCCTGGATAATCTGCAAAGACAACGCACGCATCAGAATCTGGGTTAGGCGGGGTTGGGATTCCTACGCGTTTGTGTTTATTCTCTTTCTCCGACATCATAGCCCTTCTTGAACCACAACTGGTGTTCAACACGCCCCTCGGGTCTTGGTTTATGTTGCGACTCCTGGGTAGCAAGTTGAGTGCCCTCTCGCCCTCTCTCTCTCTCTCTCTCTGACTTGCTACTGCCACTGTGACCCACAGAGGTCAGAAAATGCCCCTAGAACAAAACTCGGTGTGGCTGAGCGTGTTACCGGGCCCCTGACAGATAGACGGCGGTGACGGGCTGCACGCAGCGGAGGCCCTGTCGGGAAATAGCACCTGGAGAGTTCTGTGAGGCGTGTGTGCCCGGTGGCGAGCCCTTCCTGCCCCGTGGGCGCGCCCTCCAGTTCGGTGACTGGTAATTAGTCTGTCTAGACCTGGCTCCTTGGAGGTCTGATGAGTGCTTTAGGTTCTCTTATCAGAAGAGGGCTTTCATTTGATTCCTGTTGTTTGTCTGGCCGCCCCAGCTAAAGGGCGTGTAGAGCAGACTTTGGATTAAGGAAATCTGGTCTAACCCTAAAGCACTGCAGCACCTCAGTGACCATCTGCATGCTGGAGCCCAAGGATGGAGTAACAATTCAAGGAGGGAGCTGTAGACCGGTGATCTTCAGATCAGGGTGAATGCTATTCAGAGGCATCTAAAGTCTGAGAGAGTTCTGAGGGTTATAAAGACCACATACACTTCTCCAATGTTAGTGGTAAAGTTGTATGAATGAAGCCATTTCTTCCAGTGGACTGGCCTACTCTGTTCACACTCGGCGAAGTCCAAAGTCAGCGTAGGGCACATAAGGTTATTTTCCTAGGCTAGGCTGGCCTGGCCTGGCCTTGTCCGGGACCCAGAAGAGAGAGAGACATGGGGCACCAATCTGTGGCTTGAAATTATTCTGTGCACCATAAAATCTTAATGGTGCTCAGGAGCTGGCCCAGACCCTGGAAATAAGTAAGTCATTTCACTACATGGAATTCATCGCAACAGGGGCTGGCCTCTTCGGATCCACCTCTCCCTCCACCTTTCCTCCGAATTCTCACCTGGCCATTCCCGACCTTGCCTTCTCCTCAGAATGCTTTTATTAAAATCTTAGAGACTTCCACTGAGTCAAATGTGGGGATTTAGAGACCCCAGGGCAGTGAGCCCAGTGTGGGGATCACCCCTCAGAATCTGGTGGCCCTGAAACGGGGACTCCCAGCCACCGTGGCAGGGGCGCTCATCTCGGTCCCTCGGGAATGTTTGTTCTTCCGGAGTCACCCACCAGCTGGCTGGAGGGTCAGCGAGTCAGTGTTCACCCTTGGGGAAAGACTCTTCAAAAGTAAGTGCCTTTGCAAGGTTTTAGTAAAAGTCTGTCAGGCCTGGCTGTCAGGCCTTAAAGTCATCGCTTCCCTTTTTCTCCCACTTAGCCTGGGAGGTGACAAGACTGTGATAAGTGCTGTAGAACAGGGTCTTGTTTTATGGAAGAATGGAAGAGACTTTGTATTCATTCTCTGCCTGCTTGTAGAAGCCTAGAAATACAATCGCCTCGGTGGGGCAGTTGTGATTTTGAAATGTGGGCTGTTATCGGGAAACCAGGAACTATCTAGTTGCCAGGAGGCCATCAGATAATCCACAGTGACGTTCTCTGGGTGGGTGAGGTGGGAGGCGGGCTGTGAGGCCTCACCGGTGGGTGCAGGCGGAGATGGGGGGGAGCTGACCCTAGAAGTGCATCTACATCGCTACCGTATTTTGCCATATATAATGCGCTTCTGTGTATAATGTGCGCGACTACGTTTGTTGGCCCAAACTGTCAGGAAAAAGTCTTCTGTTTTAATGTTGCAATTCAATTATTTATTTATTTACATGTAGGAACAAAACTGGTTATCGTATTCCAGGACATTATTTTGTGTACGGATATCGTTATTGCTTTCTACAGTTACACGTTTAATGCATACACATAAATGAAAGAATAGAAACATTTATATAGGTACGGAATCACTATTACCCATGTATAATGCTCACCCTTATTTTTCCCTAAAAAATTTGGGCAAAAAAGTGCGAATTATACACGGCAAAATACGGTAGTCAATACAGGGCCCTCACCTCACTGCCAGCTGGGGGACTCACAGAGAAAGTGGGAGGAATCAGTGGAGAAATGGATCGGTGTGTCGGGAAGAGATAACACTGCCTATTCTGGTTTTTGAAACAGTGGAGCGCTGCTACTTCTTACAATTGACACTGTTATAAACTTCAAGTTAGAAAAATGGGATAGATACAAATAGAAAATGAAATTCCAAATTCTGTAAAGAAAACCAGACTTACGAATGGCATCCATTTCAAGTATTGCTTGCTTGGCCTGAAAGAAAGAAAGTGTAGCTGTCATTGCAATGACCTTTTCTTGCGGGGGCTGCTTTAAATTACCAGTCCTAATATGGGTCTTAGCCCACCAATAAGGGGTTTTTGAAAAACTTTCAAATAAATTCATTCTTTCTTTGAGGCATTAACACATATAGTTCAAGGGATTCAAACAAAGAAACGCCCCCATGTGGGGAGTGGATGCTGCACCCAGAAGCACCAGAGCTAAACCTCAGCCCCGCCCTGGAAGGAAGGAAGGAGGGAGGGAAGGAAGGAGGGAGGGAGGGAGAGGGTGGAAGACAAAGGGAGGGAGAAGGAGGAAGAGAGAAAACAGAAGAGAAACAGGGGGTGGGGTTAGGTGGGAAGAGGGGAAGAGGGGAGAGGAGAAATAGGAAACATTTCACCAAACAGTTCCAGAACCAGGCTGGTGGTTAGCATCTGTTGGTCAGCTTATTGTAAAACGCAGCTTCCTGCTGCCCAACCCTGATCCCCTGAACTCAGCCCTTATCTGCTGAACCAAAAGCCCAGGGGATGGGGCCTGGGATCTGCACAACTGGTCTTCCCCACCTCACTCAAAAAAGATTGCTGCAAATTTCCTGTTTCCCTCCTTCCAAATGCTACGAGATTATCATCAGCTAACTCTCCTGGCTCCCTACAGCACCCTTGCACCTCCCACCTTTTGTGTATGCCCTGGGATCTCCCAGAAGGGGATGGAGCTGTGGTGCGGTGCGAGCAAAGGGCTCTGAAGGACTTTGGGTTTGTGATCTCGCTCTGGCACTTGCTTGGTGGGTGCTCTCTCGTCTGTGAATGCGCTCCCCCAGCCTGAAGAAGGTCACAGGGCCTGCCTGCCAGAGCTGCTGCTGGAACCAAACGCTAGGTACTCGGCGCCCCCCCACCCCCAATGGGCCTGAGGACCTTGACTTTCACTTCCTCCACACATACTTCTCCCCACCTCTGCCTCCGCTTCAAGAGTTCCATGCTTTGAGGCTTTGAAAAATTATTACTGTTGTCGTAAGTTATTAATATTTCAGGGAATTTAAAAGGATAAGATAATCACCATAACTGCCTGAGGATTAAAAAAAGAAAAAAAACTAGGTTGGGTAGCCTTTCTTGCTTCTTTAATGTAATTTTCATTTTTTAAGGGTAATGTAACTGAATCTACAAACATTATGCTAAAAATTACCTTAAAAGTTCTTTTCCTTGTATTTTGCCACAATCTGTGACATCACAGTGAAAATATTTAGACTGAGTGGCAATCATTTTTTTTTTAAATGAACGGGGTGAGAAAGAAGACTTTATTCAGTCTCCATAACTTGGAGAAAACACGCTTTTGTTATAACACTGATATTTTTATCATCCATTCAGACTTTGAGATTACTTGTTGGAATTAATTTCAAATGCACCTGTTAGGTCAGTTTCTGTGTAGTGCAATTACAGAGCCAGGGGAACATATACAAGCAAAAGTCTCTACCTTCACCTTTCTTCTCAGTTAATCTGGGCGAGAGTTCGCTTATACACCGTGTATGTGAACAGGCCATGTGACTATTTCCAAGAACCTTTTGGGCATCTATCAACTTGACCTTAAAGTGCTATTCCCACACTTTCCACTAGGGGTCAGCCAGGGACCATCACTGAATTAAAGGACTGGAGGGGGCTGGGAGGAACTACACTGATGAATTTCCCACAACTGTGTTAGCATTATCAGGCTGGTGACGCATTTTCTGATGTTAAAAAAATTCCCCATTATGCGTTTCCTTTATTCAATGGGAATACCTTTGGATAGTTTTAAGAAAGCAATTAAGAAACAGTCAAGAAAAGAAGTGAAAATCCAAATCAATAATCTGCTTAAATAAACGAGAAAATTATGATATCACCCCAGTGGCTAAAGGGCATGAAATGAGTGTGTTTGCATCACCACTGGAAACGATGCGGTGCAGACCGGCTCTCTGGAGCCAGGCAGACCTGGGCTGGAGCGGGCCGGCCGTGCACCACCACTAGCTGTGCGTAAACTGGGGCACATCGCTCACAGCCCCTGAGCCTCTGTGTTCGCTTCTCCGGAGTGGGGGGGGGGGGGCAGGGCCTCTCTCAGCAGGTGCTTTGCGTGGGGTGAGACAGGAATATGAAGTACCCAGCACAGTGCAGGTACGCTCAAGGAGGTGTAGCTGAAAGAGAATTAGATTCTAAAAGGAAGTGGGCTAAAAGGTACAATTCTGTAGTGGCCGTTTGTCACACAAAGGAAAGACTGCCTGGAACACACACACACCTAGCGAGCGCGCAGGAGGAGGGGGACAGGTGTGTCAGCCAGTCTTGTTTCGTCATGGCCTCTAACTGCCCTTGGTAGATCTGAATTCCCAGACAGGTAAACACAGGTGGGGCGTGTCAGAGACACCCTGCCACTGCTCAGAGGGGCATAGCAAGGCGCAGGCCGGCAATCGAATGACTAACCGAGAAGAAAGCGCAGTCACCTGTCTGCGTGAGCTACCTGACATCTGGAACCACCTGAGACTCCTGCCTCGGATGGAGCACACACCCCTGCACACTCATTTCCTGGGCACGACATCATTGCGGGCCACCCCTGAGAAGGCGCTGCAGGTGCTTTTCAAAATATACAGGGGGCCAAACTGACCCTGGGAGAAATCTCGTGCGTCCTTATTTTCCACCCAGTTCCACTCTCGAGGTCTCACCCCGCTCTCTGCCCCAGTTCCCTCCTCCCCGCCCTGGCATGGACCAACCAGTTCACCATCCATGCGGATACTCCGTGCTCCGCCCTCACCCGGCTCCTTGCCACATCCTCTCTCTAGCCTTTCCTGCCACTCCAGAACAGCAGCATGTACTCATAGCTGCCCGCAGAACCCTGCTGCCACCCAGGGCTGCCCTGCCTCAAAGGCGGGGCTCCCAAGGCCCCTTCTCCGGCTACAGACCTCAATACTTCCACCTTCAACTCCCGCCAAACCAGTTCTCTGACTTTACAAGGCCACGCCCCTCCCCCCTTCCTATTATCCTAGTTGGTTTCACCGTCCCCTCAGCCTGGAAATCCCGCTCAATTGCTGCCATAGGTGCTGGTGGGCACCCTGCCTTCCCTGCCCTGTGAGCCTTCCCTCACCAGCCCCCACCGCTGGGGGACCCATGTGCACCGTGGTGCCTCAGCACTAGCTGCTGAGTTGCTGAGTAGATCTGAAAACGATCTCACCCCACTGACTCACGGTGGCCAGCTTCAGCGCGGTCTGTGATGCCTTTCCCAGGTCAGTGTGGTCGTCCCTACTGACTGGATGGTCCATTTCTTCAGCAAGTGTCCTGGACCTTTCCGCTTGCAACCCCATCTTTGCTTCCCTCGTGCAGCAGCTGACATCACCACTGACAGCAGTGAGATCGAACCCCTGATCTTCCCTCTGATCCACCTCAAAGCTTCTCTGTCCTCTCTCACCTTTCTTCTCCCTGAGCCCAGGAAAGACGTGGCTGGCCCTCAAAACTGACCCCTGGACCTGAGCTTCTGATCCCCTCCTGCCACTCCCCCCAGGCCACACTCCAAGGAGCATCCCTCCACTTACCCTGACTGTCTCCCGCTTCCCCTGCCTCCTTCCCCTCTGGTTTACGTGTCACGTGACCCGTCACTCCTCACCTTCAGAAAGTGCCTCGCTTTGATCTCATCTTCCCTCAAACTTCCTCCCTTTGCCTTCTCTGAACTCTGTTTAAAAAAGATAAGCCTACACCCAGTCCGTTCCTCCTCCTGCCTTTTCTCTTCCACTCGCCATGGTCTCTCCCTGGTCCCTGCGTGGACAAACCTGAGGGCTACTTTTCTGTTTGCGTCTGTTTTGCCCTCTGCAGCGTCTGAGGCTGGGACTTCGCTCCCTCTCCCTGAGATTCTTCCCTTCCTTTGTTGCCACGCCTTTCTCCCCGTGGTCTGACTGCCTCCCTGCTGCTGGTCCCTCCGGTGTTCCCCAAACCCCCCACCGCGCTGTAGATCGAGTAGTTGTGGGGATGCCCAAGGGTTCTCCCCCCTCTAGACATTCTGCAGGGCCCTCCCAGCAACCCCAAGCAGTCCGGGTGGAGAGAGCCTCCAGACCCACAGCTTCCAAGACCTGAATTTCCACCTGCAGCGGACCCACCCCGGCGCACGGGCGAGCGCTCTGCCCTCTCGCTCCCATCCGACCGGTTCCTCCCCTCTGCCGCCTATTTTGGAGCTTACGACACCACCCTCTTGGCCCAGCTCCTGACTCATCCCTGACTCTCATTTCTCCCTCTCCTCATGCACTTAGTGGGCAAACCCCTGTTCCCTCTGCCCCGGTGATGGGTTTGGCATCTGCTCCCCCTCGCGTGCTGTGGCTCCTTGGCAGTGCCCCTCGTCCATTTTCCAGGCTATTTCGGTGGCTCTCGTTAACTCCCCTCCTGCCTCCAGTCTCACCCCTCCCATTCACTGCCCCACTGCTCCCAGAGGCACGCTCTCAGAGCAGGGGGCAGGCTGTGCCATCCGCTTCCTCCAAAACCTTCAGTGGCCTCCCGCCACCAGCACGATCCCGACTCCTCGTGTGTGGGGTTGAAGCCCTTCACAGCCTGGCTGGCTGCCCTCCAGGTCTCCCGCCTCGCCTCCAGCTCCCTCTCCTGAGGACTCGGCCCTCCCATCTTGGTTTTGTTTATGCTGTTCCTTCGGCTTGATTTTCCTCTCGCATTTCCTCCACTTAATAAAGACATTCCTCATCCTTCAAGATACTGAAAGGCATTTTCCTTCCTCTCCCCACTCAACTGAAATTGAATACTTTACCCTTCCTCATCACTTGGCTTATACCTTCACGAATTCATCCTGTGTAGCAGATGGTGAAATAATAATGCACGGCCAGCTCCCTCGCCTCCACGTCCCTTCCCAGCAGAGCCAGGGCCTGGCTGGCCTCACGCCAAGCCAGCTCCGTGCACCGCCCACGCCCAGCGCACCTCCGGACAGTTCTCACGGCTCCCTTGGTCTCCCACTCGTTCTCTAGAAATTTACTGGTAGTCTTTTCCTTATTTTTTCTTCTTTCAAGCCCCCAAAGAAAAACACAATTTAAAAAACAAACCAAAAACCAAAACGTCTCTGCAGTGTCTCACTCACTACATGTGAACCCTCTCGGTGCAAACGGCTGGGTTAGCCGGTGCCTGGCGGGCCCGCCCTCTCTCTCTCTCCTTCATGTGGAAGTTGGGCGTTCACTGCTGCCTGGCTGCCTCCCTAGGACCTGCATGTCCTCACACACCGCTGTGCACTGGCCTCGCAGTCTCACCTTCGCTGGAATCTTGGCCGCGTGATTCTCCAGGATCAGCCTCTTCAGGTGCAGAATCCACAGGCGTTTGTCCTGCTGCGACTTCGCCTACAGGAAGGAGGTTCGGACAGTCAGACAGGTCTGGCCTCTGCCGCCACCGAGATTCCCAGGTCCCTTTAAGCCTCTGACGGCATGGAAAACACACCGTGCAGCCAGAAAGCTCTGGGAAGCCTTCCTGGCGCAGGGTGCTCATTGTCACGGAGAGCGGGCCTCGCAGGGAGCTGGGGCCTGGCTTTTACCTGAACCGTGTGCTGCAGCTTGGGGTTCTTGTAGTGGAAGACGCTGAAGCTGAGCGGCTCCTTGGGGATCACCTCCACGAGCATGAGGTTGCCACACTGCGCGGGGAGCAGAGACAGCGTGAGGTCGCTTGGAGGGGACGCAACAACGGGCCCCCGACGTCCCTGCCCGTGACCACCCTGCCCACCTACCAGGATGTGAGCTTTGTACGTAAACGTGTCGTCTCGCTTCTTCGTGATGAGAAGCGCCTTGTCGAAGAGGAAGAGGGTCCGCTCGTTCTTGGCCCGCTGGAGGCGGAAGGTCCCTTCCAGCACCAGCTCCCCGTAGCTGGTCAGGTCGGGCCCCTTCCAGTTGGTGAGCAGACTCTGGATCTCCTGGAAGACCAACAAATGGATGTGTCTTGCAATGGCACAGGAGGCGGGTGGCGAGGCCGCGAACGCACGGCGGCCCGTTCCTGGAGCCTCCAGAATGGCATCTAAATACCTGCGACAGGGCCCAGGGGATCTACGTGGGGTCTGACGGGGTCTACCATCCACGACATTCATCCACATTTCTGGGTGGTGTCGTTTAGAGTTAACAGAAATGAATCCGTTGTTGGTTCACAAGATGCCAATTACTTACTTCCATCCTAGATCACCCCCCTCCCAGGGCTGGCTGCGTCAAGAGGCCATTGGTGTGTGACCTTCTCAGTAGGCATCCTGCCCTTGACTTTCTCAGCCCCTAGCCTCTGGACAAAACCCTTGAGAGCTATGGACCCGGATAACTTCTTCCAGAAACGGAAGTCCACACCATGTATCAGTCACTTAAAACTAAAGCCTGTGGAAAATCATACAAGACATGTCATCTCAGAAAATTCCTGCTAGTAATCCCATTTATTTAGGGAAAGGAAATGAACATTTCTTCCCCACTAGGTTTTGGATGGAACCTGGTAAATATAGATTGATAACAGGACTCTGAAGTTTCTCTGGGATGTACTGTACATCCACATCGATATTTCTTAAGGAAGCTGGACGTATTACTTTGAAAAGTGAAATGTCCGCAAACAGAATCTAACTACGCAGCCCCCAGGACAGACGAATGAAACGTCTTTGGTGGAAAGTGCACGTGGAGAGGAAAGGAGAGGAGTCGGAGCCGGAGGCGGAGCCAGCGGCATCTGCAGAACGCCAAACAGATTCGCAAGGTATGAAAACCTAGTCCTTTAGCCATGTTTGGAAATGCAACAGACATCATGTCTGACATTACGTCCACAAAACATTCGAACGATGAAGCTTTAAACCCTTTTTATTGCTACAAAAAACAGACATGGCCTGAGAGATGAGAACATCCCTTTCCTTTGATTTTTGATAGTGGATTGCATCATACCGCACTCTGGCTGCCTCTCAGTGAAACCCAGGATTTTGTTCGCAGCTCTGGGCCAAATAACGTGTCTTTTATTCCTGAGTCAGGCACGGGTGTTCTGCGGAACCTGGAGTCACTCTGGGCTTTGTGTCTCACTCCAGAGACACCCAGGAGCCTGGCTACTTCCTCTGGGCCCACACGGCCTTTTGTTTTTTAATAAAGTATCTTTCGAGGTGCCCAGCACATGACCACTGGCTCAGCATCTACCAAAAGTTTTCAGGGACTTAGGGCTCAAAATGCTGGTTCCAGGAGGAGCCTTAGCAAGCCCTCGTCTGTCTTATTTTAAAAATGAGGAACCTAAAATGCAATGGTGGTTCTCATCCCACAGGAAACTGCAAAGGACCTGGCTGCAGACTCAGCTCTCCTCTCTCGGGGTCCCCTGTCCCACTACCACACGCATATCGACCACCTTGTGACTGTGCATGAACGAGTGACAGAAGACTAGAAGTTTAAGGAGAAAAACAAACAAACAAACAAACAAACAAACAAACTTTTAAACAGCTTAGAGAGAGTTCATTTCAACAAGAATTACTTCTTTGTGCCCTGGCTGGTGTGGCTTCATGGACTGAGTGCTGGCCTGTAAACCAAAGCATCGCTGGTTCGATTCCCAGTCAGGGCACATGCCTGGGTTGCAGGCCAGGTCCTCAGTGGGGGGCACGTGAAAGGCAACCACACATTGATGTTTCTCTTCCTCTCTCCCACCCTCCCCTCTGCCTAAAAATAGATAAATAAATAAATAAAATCTTTAACTAAAAAAAAAATTACTTCATTGTAATTAACATAAGATAAGGCCTCAGGAGACTCAACATTTTAACTTGGATCACCGAAGGGGATATGAGCAAGCAATTCGTTTAAAAGTTACCACGGGACTTGGTCCTAAATATTGTATTCAACGACATGGGCGTTATCGGGGTGCTGATCCTTCCTCAGGACCCGGGGGAAGACCGTGACCGAGGTGCAGCACCGAGCGGCTTTGACACCGGGTCTAGGAGAGGCCGGCGCACCTGCAGCAGCGCCAGGCGCCGCCGCCGCACGAGCTCACCTGCAGCCGGACCGCGTGCTCGTGTTTCCGCTTCATGTCGTTGATGTGCCAGGCGACCCGCTGCATCGTGTCGATGGCGTCCAGCACCACGTCGTAGCCTTCTGTGTCCTTGTCTAGGTGGTTTTCTATTTCCTTAAAAAAAAAACAAAAACAACAACCCAAACTAGATATTTTCCATTTTTCTCCATTTATTCAAGGAAACAAATGTCAATTAGTTCCCCGTGTTTTATTTCTGCTTAATTACTTACACACTACCACCCTTCTTTAAGAAGTTGAGATAACTTCCCAGAAACACCGAGGACAAAAGGGCTAGATGGGAAAGAAAAGGGAGCTAGGAAAGACAGAAGTGGATTGGAGTGTCGCGACAAAGAGCAGGAACCTGCACACAGCCGTCAAGCCTCACGGAGAGAGTATGGTTGTTGCAGCAGATGTGAGAGTGGGCATTAGAGTCAGATTTCTGAGCTTCCTGGGGCCCATGTCAGAGAGTTCTCGCTCTTACAGGATGGCAAACTTACTTACTCTTTTTCTCCCAGAGAGAGGAAGTGTCTCACACAGGGCTTGATGAATAACACATGACTGGAAAATAGCATATTATCTTTAAAAAACCCTTCCACGGCAAGTGCACATTCACGTAGTCGAGGCATCGCGGCCCACACGGTGCTCGCCAGAGACAACCCCCCAGCGTGCGGAGGAAGGCCTCCGGGTTCTCACGCTCGCTCTCTGACGGTCGGCACTCAGCCTAGCGCTGGGGTCCACGATCCCAGGAGGGAAGAAAGGGCGCGATCTCTGCTCTCATTCTTCCCAGCACGGAAGACACATGTCCCTAGAATCCTCGAGAGTGTCAGGACAGAGACTATCGCACAGTTCCTTTAACCCTTTATCTTCTCAACAGTGCCCACCAGAGAGCTGGGTGGTCAAGAAAGGCTCATCAAATTGAAGCTCTATCTTCTTACAACAAAAACAACAATAACTCTATATAACTTTGTAAAAACAGTAAGAAGATATTATGGTCCCTCAGATCGTTTCCATGACATTCATCATGCATATTCATTAAGCTAAAGGGTGGAGGTGGAGTCTTATGGTAGAACTTAGGAAGATTGGCTCTATCATTTTATAGTCATACTTTGCAACTCTTTACTTTTACTGAGTATTCACATTTTCCATCCAGCTAGAAATTGGAAGGGAACTTACATCTGCTTTCACACTCAGAAAGGGCCTATAAAACTGTATCACCAAACTAACAACTCCCAGGAAAGGCCAAGATCAACAGCAAAGCCCTGGATGGGTGGCTCAGTTGGTTGGAGGGTCATCCCGTGCACCGAAAGGTGGCGGGTTTGATCCCCAGCCAGGGCGCATACAGGAGGCCACCGATCAATGTTTCTCTCTCACATCAGTGTTCCCCTCTCTCTCTCCCGCCCTTTCCTCTCACTCTAAAATCAATAAAATTTAAAAAAAACACATATCCTCAGGTAAGGATAAGAAAACTTTTTTAGGAAAGAGGTCAACAGCCAAGTTAAAAACCATTCACTTCTTGTTTTAGCCTGAGAGGCAATCCTGTTCATCAGCGGACTCAGGAGCACGGAGTGTGTTCTTGGGCGGATCTCCACAGACGGCTACACAGCTTTGAAGCGATGTGGGCAACACAGAAGGGGCGCTCTCAATAAAGAACGAAAGCAGAAATACTTCCAAGGCATCCGGACGTTAGATTTAGATGACTCTCACGGCTGTTCTCCCCTCTTCCCTTCCTCACCAGCTGTCACAGACTGCGTGTTCGGGTCGGCCCCCGAACGCCTATGTCGAAATACGAACCCCTCACGTGGGGGCCTCTGGGAGGTGATGAGGCCATGCGGGTGGGACCCTCACGGGTTAGTGCCCTCAGGGAAGAGACCCCCGAGAGCTCTCTTGCTGCTTTAGTCCATGTGAGGGAACAGGGAGACAGCAGGAGGCTGCGACCCCCTGGGCTCTCACTGGAACTCAACCGTGCTGGCCCCCCGATCTCGGGCCTCTGGAAACGGTGAGAAATACATGTTTTTGCTAATGCCACCAAGTCTGTGGTACTTTTTTATAAACCCAGACTGACTAAGACACTGGCTATTAACTTATAGAGTAAGGGCTGATTTTTCTATCAATTAACTTTTTGTAAGGATCACGACTTGTTATATCAGACATGCTTATGTCACTGAGATCGTAGACATTTACTTTTGATTGACAGCTCTCTTCCTGCCTAGAAGTCCATATTTAGAGATCGTGGGGACATACTCGTCTTCGATGTCATATTAGCAGAGTCCAGCAGCGGTTTGTCCCAAAACAGGCATTATTTATTTAAGAACTATTTGGACACTGATTTAGCAAATTAACCCCACTAATCTAACAAGTTATTAGCATCAATTTAACAGTTAAAGTGCTATCCCCGATGTGGCTTCACAGGGCACCAGATTCTGCAAAGATGAGCCACCCAGGCAGCCAGACAGAGCTGGGAAATTTCTGGTAAAGCTGTAACATAAGGGTTCTTAACATTTTTGATGTGTATGAACTGAGCAATCCTGGCTTGTCTAAGTTAGAAACCTGGGGTCATTTAAAAAGAGATACCTATAAATTGCAGATGTGTTGACATGCAGAAAAACTCTGGATTGAAATCTCTTTCCTATTTTTTTACTTATTATTATTATTATTTTATTTTTATTTTTATTGATTGCCTGTGAGCCGCAGTGCACACGGGCAATTTACAGCCCCGCCCCGGAGCCCAGCCCCTAACCACCGCGCCAGGCTGTCTTCCTCCTACTGCATTGGCTATCCGATCCTGCCTACACATGAAAGTTACTTTCAACAACGCTTTCCCCCCATTTTTATCCACTTCCTTGGAGGATGAGAAATGAGAATGTGAGTGCTAAGTCTGCCTTTGTGCCTAAAGCCTCCTTGAATTTTGCAAAAAGAACGGGAAATGATATAGAGAACAGATACCCTGATGGGACGCTAGGCCCAGCTCAAAGATCACTCATCGCGCTGCTCACCTGTCTTCTCCCCTTTCAGCCCCTTCCCTCTGCCCCTACAAAAGCTGATCTGTGACAAATCGCTCTCCCTCCCAGCTGCCTACTGAATCAGGGCGCATGGAAATAAAACAAAACAGAAAAAGCCTGGTTTTCATTAAGATGATAACTCCCCTGCGTGAGACGGCCACGGCCCAGAGTGAGGGGCTCCGGAGCCCTCTGAGAATCGGAGCTGAAACGAACCTTTCCTGGGCTGCTGTGAATGGGGTGCAGGCCTCGGACATAAATAAATCTAATTCCTCAAAGCAGATCAGTCCGTTGTAAGGTATGAGTGTGGAGAATGTTTCCATATGTCCCCAGCCTTTTCTGATCTTTTTTTTCTCCCCTAAACCTAATACACAGACACTTAATCCTCATCCTCTGGAAAGAACCCCGGCCCAGGCAGAAACTCACGTGCAGAAGGAGGTGATACTTGAGGATCCGCTGAACTGGCTTCAGGAGATACGACCCCAGGGGCAGTGAGTGTTTCAGAGTTTCCTGACGCTCCCTGAAGAATTTGGCCAGGGTCTTGTTCCTCATGCAGTCCGTTAACACAGCCACAGATCTGCGAGAAGAATAAATATCGTCATCTCCATGGAAACGCCTGCTTAACATGGGTATTCTGGTTTTAAATGCCAGTGCAGGTATAAATGCCCTAGCACAGGTAGGGAAGCGACAGCGCTAGGGCTAGACGAGAAGGCCTCCGGGTAAGTTAGACCGAGGTGTCCCTCTGGGTGAGTGAACTAGCAAAAGGCACTCTAACGGTGACGGTAACAGAGCTTCTAAGTAGCAAGCTCCTTCCTTCCAGGGATTTGGCCCCTACAAGGACGCACAGCTTAGCAAAGGGGATGCCCACTGGCTGTTAGCCCCCACCTGTGCCCCATCCGGGTGTCTCTGTGCAGTGCCCGAACCACACATCCGTACTCAATGTCCACAGGGGAGATGGCAAGGAGGGGGCCCTTTGCACTGAGAAAAAGCAGCTCCTTCTCCCCAGGAGATCCAGCCCCAAGCTGGATGTTGTCACCCCTTCTGCTGCTGTCTTTGTATAATGCACAAACGGTGTGCCATTACGTGCAGGTCTTTGGAGACCTTGCCCCACAGTTCAGCTTCCCTCTGCGAATCTTTGAACAGACCCTTCTTTCCACCTCCAATGGCTGTGCTTATTCTAAAGACAGCTCCTGAAACAGCTGGGTAACCTGGCTCCTTAAGGAGCGCGCTGCACGGAGTGGATTAGAAAAGGGGGTCGCAATGCCTTCTCTGTTCCCGCTCCCCCAAAGGTAGGAAGGACGGCCCTGGAGCACCCTAGGAGAACAGTTGAAACAATGCTCAGATCTTCTACATAAGGCAAGCTGGTGGGCTTGCGCAGTCACACACACATATAAATCAAAGCTTTATGATCGCATAACTTAGAAGGAGGCAGGTGGAAGTCATTTCTCCCCAAGTCAGTAACCTCTTTTCAGAGTTAATTTAGGAGATCAGATAGAGGCAAACAACAAAATAAAACTCCTGGGAAGGAAGGAAGATGCAGGTCTCCTAGTTACACCATTGGAATCTCTTTGGAGCCCATCTGCTTTGAGAAGTATCTATTCACACAGGTTTATTTTCCCCTGAACTTGAGATTTTGATACTTCTTTAAAAAAATTCTATAACCAAGGAGCTTTTGTCAGAGTCAGGATCAGCTGCTCAGGGGCCACGGGCCACCCGACGGCCGCAGCTCTTGTCCGAGGGTGAGAACCCTGCCCCAGGCCCGAGCGCCCTGAACTCTGGATTCAGGGCAGCGGGCGACATCTGAGGACAGCGACCTAAGGGGGCCTGGGCCCCTCCCTGGGGGAACCGGGGCGGCCTGTGTCTCTTCACAGAGGAGCCACTGGGGCGTGACTGGTATGAGGAAGGTGGACATCTGTCAAGGTGTGCTGGCGACATTTAATATCACCAGCCCGCGTCTGAAGGGGGAGGGACAGTTGTCAGATGGGCCGAAACCCCTGGCCCTCTTGGCTTACGACAGGACGGGAAACTTTGGGCCTCGGAGAGCAACCTGACCAGAGACAAGCGGGCAAAAGAGGCAAACTTTTTCTATGACTTTGAAAACCACAGAACTGGGCAAGAACTGGATGGGCCTGCTCCACTGAAAATGCCTTAAAACGTCTTTTTTTTTTTTATGAGAATGTCTTTCAAGCATCTCCAATGCATTTTTTCCTTCCTCAAGTCAGATTCAAAATAAAAAATCACTTCCTCCAAGAAACTGCCCTTAAAACTCATCACTGGAGACTTACTCCTCCTTTATCTCAGTATATTTTGCTTCTATTGCACATTACTGAGTTCGCACTATATTAGTCTGTATTTATTAATTTGATCTTCTCCAACTCGCTATGTATCCCACTGCTGCATTCAGTTGGGTCCCGATCCTCGAAAGAATATACTCTGCCAGGAGGCAAGGGGGAGGGTTCCTGTTTCTTTTCAACATTCACCCAACTCGGAGCCATGCTGTGGGTGACAGGCTCTTAAAGACGTTCCTTCACAAATGGTCTCGCCTCTCCCCTGAAGACAGAAGCCTCGTGCATCAAAAGGTGCCTTTACTTTGTACTCTGCATTCTTATTCCTAACTCAGAGAAATCTTAATATAAACTTCCGAAATTGCAAATTCAGAAGTTCTTCTTCAAACGACCTGCGGAAGACGAGATGGGCACAGCCCTCAGCTCCCGGCAGGCCCCTCGAGGGCCCGGGGGCCGACCGTCCTGTCGGGTCCGGAACTGTGTTGACTCTGTAGAGTCCCAGGGTGTGCTCTCTTCCCTCAGGAAGACGCTGAGCTGCTGACTCTGTGACTTCTCTGCACGAGGGCCGGTGCTGGCGTCCAGCGTGAGCACCACGGGTTTATTAGTCTGGGCATCCTACAGTTCCCTGACACCCCTGCAGACATGTGGAAACTTCAGGAGAGAATCAGGGGTGTCCAAACCGCAGCACGCAGGCTGTACTTGGCCCAGGATGGCAATGGATGAGCCCCAACACAAAATCATGAATTTACTTAAACCCCTTTTTCTGCTCATCAGGTTTCATCAGTGTTTGTGTATTTAACGTGGGACCTAAGATAACTCTTCTTCTCCCGGTGTGACCCAGGGACGCCAAAAGGCTGGACACCCTGGACGTGAAACCGTGTCAGCTGTGGGTGGGTCTACGGAGGTGTGTAGGTGTTAAATGTACTAATCTGTAGGTGACTGTAGGTAATCTGTGATCTCTAGGGAAACCTGGGGGAAGTATCAAATAAGTCGCCCCAGCCCGACATCCTGACCGATACCGGGAGGAGGAAACCGCAATCCCCAGTGGCGAGTGTCCTGCCACCAGGAGGACCGAGGCCCTGGCTCCATGCCTTTCAGTCCACGCTGGCTCTCTGGGGCCACTTGAGCCGGGGCCCCGCTGGTTCTCCCCACGGAGCACCATGGGGGGTTCAGCCCGCGGCTTCTTTTCCAGGTGGGGCCCACCACCCACTTGCTGCTCAGGGACACGTCTCTGCCATGACCGGCGCAGAGCATGTAAAACCGCCCTGGCTCTCCTCGTCCTGGCTGGCCGCTGGGATAACAGCGCAAGGATCATGTGGGAAAAGGGACCACAAAAAGGCATCGGGGCTGGGGGTGGGGTGCAGAAACCTTACGAGGATGCAGTAGCGTGAGGTCTGAGGCTGGAAAAACCTCTCGGGGCCCCTTGTCAGCTATGGGACCCTTGTACCATCAATAGACCTACTGGAGCCCCATTCCTTCACCCCCGCCGTGGGGATGGGGCAGGGTGACGGCAAACTAGCACGGGCTGGGGACCTAGGACGTGCTCAGCACTGGGACGGCCCTTCTGCTTTGCTTTTAACCCCCAGGCATCTCTGGATTGCTGTGCAAGTTCAATTCAGCAACGTTTATCACTGACAGCGCTTTACAGTGACTAGGCATCAGTAAGCGCTCAATAAACGTCTCACGCACAAAACAAGACATTCAGACAGTGGTCTCAGGCCTGACTCCTCACTGAGATGGTCCCTGTAACAACGTCCAGGGGCTGCACTGCCCCCGTCCCTGAACTGCCCACCTGCCAGCGCTCCCAGTGTAGGCAACACGGAGGTGGGGTCCAGGGCGGACCATAGGTCCTCTCTTCTCGCCTAAGCTTGCCATGACCTTTCCTTTCTCCGAACTCCACAAAACTCACATAGGTCATAGAACTTAGCTAGCAGAAATACAACATCTTGTCCCCGGCCAGGTTATATACACTCAGTATCATTGCTTCTGATAGTTTTAAAGACATGGCACTCATACAAAAGGGTTAATAGACGAGACTTGTAGCCAAATACACTGGTTTACTGGGTTTTCCACTGAAGGACACCTAGCAACCTTCTGGTCTCTTTGAAGGTCTTGTGTGACTCTCCCTACCCTGGCTCTGCTGGGAGCCCGAAGCCTGAGCGGAGCAGTGCTGGGGGGCCCCCCACCTCCGCCCCCAGTAACCCGTTCTCAGCAGGTTTCCCAGTTTCCCCACAGTGTGCAGCACAGGGCCAGGCAGGTAGCGCCTGCCGCCGACAAGCACTGGACCGATGGACTCGACCGGATACAGAAGCGGAGAAAAGTACTCCCGAGCACTCACGGAGCTTACCTCGGGTAGTTCGTGCAGTACTGCGTGTAAATGTGGAACTCTTCGCTCTGCAAGGAAGCAAAAGAGGCGTTTATAGGCAAAAAAGCAGAGACAGCAACATTCACTTAAAAACAATAAAAAATAACAGCATCCGGGCTTTAAATTTGTCTCTCTGATGATGTGAGCCTATATCTCCTGAGTCCGTGTGGCAATCATTTGTGCCATATTATCTGTCTGGTGTTATATCTAGAATTCACATGCACTTGAACCCATTTGAGTTTAATAAACACTTATCGAGCATCTGCTGTGTTAGGTAAATTCGAAGGTAAATACGAAGAGGAAGGAAATAACGTTTCTGCCCAGGTGCTCATCGTCCTTTGGTAGATTATACAGTGTGGTGGGGGAGATGTAAGTAGGTCATTTACATGCCACGTGGTGAGAACGTAGCAGAAGCACGTGCAGGGCCTGAGCAAGCTGCTCTATGTGCCTGCAGGTTCCTCCTCGTGTATTCACAGAGCATACCTCGGACGGTTCGTGCAGTTCTGGGTGTAGATGTGCAACTCCTCACTCTGCAAGGAGACAAAGGGCTCCTGACCTGACCTAGAGCCTCCGGCAGCCGCCTCGTTTCCTGGTGCAGCAAGAAGTTCCAGCCCTTCCTGCAGGCTGCCCTCCCACACTCATTCCTATCGGAGCCCTGGCTCCCTCAGGTAGGAACAGCACTGGGAACCCCCAGTGTGAGCAGCAGGGATGCTCTTTGCTGCTGGGGTGATGATTAGTTCTAGGCCTTTTCAGTGGGCAGAGTTAGAAAAATGGTGTGGTTTTTTTTTTTTTAAAGATAAAATGTATCCTTTAGTTCATACTAATACTTGCAATTCAGATTCACGACTACAGCATTTTTATTAGCTTTATTCTTACCCTGTATTTTCTTCTGCCTACCAATTCCAGTTCTCAATGACACTACCATAAATACTCATTTGCTTTATCCCACAATACACTCAACAATTTCAGGGTAAAATACTGACACCACCATAGGTGATATATCATGACAGAAAATGGTTAAGGGTGTATAGGTTGAATATTGTCCATAGCATCTTTTTTAATCAGTTGGAATTTCCTCTGCGTGATTATATAACAACGTGGATACACAATTAGGCTAATTCCACTTTGCTTTCAGTTTTTGGAGACTGCTTTTTTAAACTTTAGTTTTGCTTTATAATTATGTAAAATATGTCCATGGTTTCAAAGTCAACTCTACAAGGAAATGCACAGGCAAAGAAGCCTACCTTCTATTCCTTTCCATTCTAGTTTATTTTCTCCTTTTCCCTGTCAGATGCCAATATTTAGTTGTACAGCTTATCTTCTTTATTTAAAAAATACACATTTGAACACAGGCATACCATCCCTCATTCCTAGATAAATGAAAACAAGCCACGTCAGTGGCTCGCAAACTCGAGTGTGTTTCAGAATCACCTGAGGGCCCGTGAAAACACAGGCACTGGGTTTGGGCAAGCCCCCCAGAGTTTCCGATGCAGTAGGGCCGGAGTGCGTCCTGAGAATTTGCTTTCAGACAAACTTCTAGATGGGACTGGTCCAGGGACCACACTTTGAGAACCACAGTGCTATGCATACTTTTATTCCTTCCCCCTGGCACGCCCTGCCCCTCCCTGGTATATACAGAGATATTCTTAATTTGCTTTCATTGCTTCCTAGCACTCCGTTATGTGCTTCCTCAACTGGCATCTCGTTTATGGACATTTGGGCTGTTCTATGTATTTCTATATGTATATGTATGTATACATATATAAATGTTCCTATAAATTGTATATATCTACACAATCCAACAATTGTTATTGCAAAGCATAGTGTCCCACTTATTGAATTTTTATCCCTGTATCTTTGGAGCCGATTTCTGGGAGTAGAATGGTTGCACTAAAGGGTGCATTGAGACGTGCTTCTGCTAGATGGAGCCAAATTGTCTTCCGACAGGCCTGTGCCGTTTGGTTTTCCGGTAATTGTGGGAGTACCTGTTTCTCCATGGCCTCGCCAGTTTAGAAGGCTGCCAAGCTTTCAAGCATCATACTGTAAAAAACCCAAATTAGCTGCCAACTTCTAAAACATAGGTAATAAAAATATCTTGAGTTCTGGTTTCTCCTGGAAAAGCAGTAGATCCACTGGTCCTGGGCCCACAGATTCACATGACACTTATGTCCCCAGGAGACCAGGCGAGTACTGAGCTGGCGGCAGCCTCCCATTCATGCACCGTGTCCACTGGTTGAGCTCTGGAGAGCACCGGGTGGCCAGCCCTGACTCCAAGGACGAGAAGAGCAGAGTCACTTGCCCAAGGTGTAGTAAATTAGCGTCAGAGGCTGGAGCTTTTCTCTGCGTTTGTGCTTGCACCCTCTCAGTTTTTTTTTGCTTCTTTCCTGCTTCCTGCTACACTCAACCTGGGACTGAGCAATGCCAGGTTGTCTTTCCTTAATTTCTGAGAAGTTTAGGATTATTTAAAATACCACACTTAAAAATCAATGACCTCAATGAAAATGTCTAAATTACACCCTGTATTTGACCTGTGAAGACCATCCCTAATGAAGCCTCAAGACTTCGGGGCAATTGAGAATTTCTGTGCATTTCGTGACATCATGACTCTAGTTTTGTGTTAAAGTTGAGGGATTTGATTCAAATTGGCTTTATATTGTTAATATAGGACCAAGTGTATATATGACCTTAGACCTGTAAGATCTGTCAGCATTTCAAACAACAGCTCTGCACAGAAATCAATAGTTCCTAGTTGGTTAATCCTTAAATGCCTATCGATATTTGCCTCCCCAAATCCTTTTCAGGAGTATTTAGGGGAAAAGAAGGCAATGATAAAGGAATTATACAAAAATAGATATTTCCTTCTGGTTACTCAACTCTCTCAGACTGCAATGAGAGAAGATGTAGAAAGGAGACATTTTATTATGAAAAAAAACAAACAAACAAAAATATAAGGTAGTCAGGGCTGTCCCACTGAGCACATAGGGTGCTCAAATGTCTGTTGAATCAATCACCACTCCCTCTCTCTCACACACACACACACACACACACACACACACATACTCACACACTCACTGGCCTGAGATGTTTCCCAGCACACCATGAGAAAGGCCTAACGTACACAGAGCACATGGATGAGGCAACACTGCCCTGACAGGAATATGGGCGATCAGCACTTCCTGAGGACACTTCCCGTACGTAAGTGCACGTCTGGGCCCTGGAGGGAGGAGAAAGGCCCCAAGGGGGCTGAAGGCCATGCATCACGGGAAAGGAGGAGGTCAGCAAGGGGAGCTTGGGCCTCTGAAGCCAAGCTTTGTCTCCTCGCTCAGCGCTGCCCAGGGTCAGCCCCCGCGGCAGTCAGGGGAGGAAGCGAGGGTGAGGTGAAGGCAGGAAACAGGTAAACTTGCTGCAGGTGTTTCTCAAGCCCAAGGAGCACACAAAGGCTCAGCTGGGAGGCTGCTTGGCCCGCCCAGTAGGGACCTTTGTCTCCGTCCCTCCTGCCCGTGCGCGCTGTGTGGGCCTGCTCTTTCGTGAGCAGCAGGTCAGAGGCCGCCCTGTGCTCTCCTGCTGTCAGTAAGGATTTCTGGAACCTCCACGGACCACGAGAGCAAGGTCAGGGTGAATCTCTGTGCAGGCCCCAGTGATTCAGATAAAAGCCCAAGTCAACCACCAGCTTTCTTTCTTTCATTAACAGCCTGTCAATTAACGCAATTTTCCATTCCTCCCCAGAGCGGGGCAGCTGGTTGTCTCAGCAGACATGCCATCTTCTGAATTTCGGGGTGCTGAGTGAAGAGCAGGCTGCGCCAGCACCAAGCACTCCCTCCTCATTCCCTGCTTCCTCGGGAAAGTGCGGGGTGCCCAAAGTCAGTCTTCTAATTAAACCTGGCAGCATTACAATGAAAAACTAAGATTTGGGAGTTGGCAACACAGCACATAAACAAACTTTTATGTGAATAATTAAGCCAGAGCTAAGCATATGCTGGACCGTCTTTAATCAACTTGTGATTACAGTTACCAGTAAAAGCCCGAGCGTTTCCAAAAGCCTCCGTGTTGTTTACGTGCTGTGGTTATTTTAACATATCTTCTTTGATATACTTGGCATATCTTTCGACCCATTTCTCCCGCTTTCATTTTCCCTCTCTTGTTCAAACTCCTACCCTTTAGGAGGATTAATTATGACACAGGCAACTCGGGGAAGGAATCGCAGGCAACCCTGTGAGCACAAACATTTCACAACTTCACACACCCACACCCGCCCACAAAGTCAGGCGCATTTTATACCCAGGGCCATCAGCTGCCTGTAAGGAGCCCCACTTAGTAAAACCCAGAGTGTGATGTTTGGGGTCAAAACCGACGGAGGGATTTGCAGCTGGCGCAAATGACCCTGCGGGACAGGTCCGGAGCCTGGGCAGCCGGGGAGGATGTCTCCCGGTTCCCATGGCCTTGCAAAGGACTCTGGGGCTGAAAGTGAGGTGCTCATGCTCAGTTGGCCCCCAAGTCCCATCATGAGCTGCTCTTAAACCTCTGTACAGGTGAAGCCGCAACTGCAGATATCACACAAAGTTTTGCTGCAGAACAATTTCTGCTAGAGGTTTTCCAGAGGGGAAAAAAAAAGAAAAAAAAAAAGCTGTTCATTTTTTCAGAGACACTTTGGATAGGATCTGTATATAGTGGGTAGCATCTCCTGAAAGTAATGTTGCAAAGGATGGCCTTGTGTATTTCAGAATTCTGTCTCCTGTCCCAGCACAGGGTGCGAACCAACTGTCACGTAAGCTTTAGAAGTCGCATCTTTTCCTTGTGTTTTTCTAAGCCATCAATGCAGCTTAAGAAAAATAACAATGAATTTTTAAGATGTAAGAGAATAATTCTCCTCCTTATCCCCTAACCTAAATGATAATTATATAGCCTAGGGTAGTGCCATATTTTTATATATAACATATTTATAACCTAACTCGTCTAGTGGTATTTTATATTTATTTATTTATTTATTTATTTATTTATTTTTCTAACATTCTTCTATTCCAACTTTCCCCCAATGTAAAGATTTTGTTTTGTTTTGTCTTGTTTTCTACGAAAGATGAGTAACATCACTCAGTTACTAGATGAATTCCAGGAAAACTACTAAGTTAGTATTTCCTAACTTACTGGGAACACTAACAGTATTTATTTTTTCCTTGCTGATAAAAAAAGAAAAGAAAAAATGAAACCAGCGTGAGAGAGATTAGTGGCTAGCTTCACCCCACATGGAATAAGCAAGTCATTTTAACTGTGGAGTGAAAACAATTTGGGCTCTGTATCTGTCTGGGTTGGCCTGGAGAAATGAACCCCGCTTACCTTGGACACGAAACATTCTGCTATGGCCACAGGGTCATTTTCACAGTTTTCCAAATCTTGCAGAAGTTCACTAATAAAAGAAATAAAAGAAAATATTAGACTGTAGTCTTATGGTCAAAGACATTTTATATCATTTAGAAGTTTAAACGTTTGCATGGCTTTTACAAGGAATCATTTAATTGGGTAACTGAGGACCTATTGCCACTACATTCAAGGTTTAGGTAAGGGACTTGCTCGAGGTCACGGCGGGGTAAGGATTTAAACACTGGTTGGATCTGTAACTCCTCTGACTAACACAAGCCTTGTGGATGGTCTCCTCGTCTGCACGGGTGCTCACCCACAGCCATCGAATAGTGTCCCAGGCACCGGGTATCGTGCCAGCAGCAAGAGCAGACACATCAGTGAGCAAACTGAGATTTGGGCCCTGGTCTCCTGGAGCTTGGGGGTCCATGGAAGAGTCAGACATTCTGTGAGAAATTACACTAGCAAATATAAAAGTTTAAACAAAGCTAGTGCTCTACAGAAAAGATATGTTAGTGCCATGACTGGTGTGGCTCAGTGGATTGAGGGTGGGCCGATGAACCAAAGGGTTCAATTCCCAGTCAGGGCACATGCCTGGGTTGCAGGCTGGGTCCCCAGTAGGGGGCACATGAGAGGCAACCACACACTGATGTTTCTCTCCCTCCCTTCCCCTCTGTCTAAAAATAAATAAATACAATCTTTAAAAAAAAGATATATTAGGGAAGAAAATGTGTTTTCATCGATGTAAATCTCTATTATTTTTTAATGGTTCATTATTTGAAGTGACTGCATCAGATTTCATTGAGTGGACATAGCATAATCAATTTAACTAATTTCCTACTACTGGACAAAACCCTACAAATGGAATTGCTGGGTCAGAGGGCATCCTCAGTGCCAGTGTTAACACATTTCCAAATTGCACTTCATGTAAGTTGTATTGATATATATTTTACTGTGTTAAGAGTTTATTTTAGTTAGCTGTGCACGACATATTTTGATAAAAAAACTCAAATAGCACTGCATTCTGTTTCCCATTTTCGACGGCCTCTCTTTAGAAGAATCTTCAGCTGTCACTGTTTTCGGCTGCTTCGATGTTTCTAAAGAGGCCGATATTGCATCTTCATTACTTTTCAGTCTTACACATTCTGACTTCTGAATTTCCCCAGACCTACCTTCCTCCCATCTTCTCAAGGAGTTGTTACAAAATTTGACTAAAGACAGAGCTTATAGTTTTAGGTATTATTACATTTTAAATATTATTCTCATCTGAACCCTGTGGTATACCGTAATTACATTTCCTTTCTTGTTCAACCATGCTTTCCCTGCATTTAAAATTCTCTCTTCCTTTTTTTTTGTGCTTCGTATCAACATACACACCACGAGTTTATTCCCCAGCTCTGCGCCAGAAGTGTGTCGTCTGACTGTGTGCAAACACCAGATTATCCGCTGGTTGTGTCCCTCCCTGGTGACCCCCTCTGGGAGCCCCGCGTCCTTCCGCCCCCACCGGAACGGCTGCGTTCTCTCTCCAACACCACCCCGGGGATGCCCTGTACCCGGCTCCCGTGTTGGAAACCTGGTTTCTTAGATACCATCTCAGATGTATTTCTTCCTTTGGGAGGTTACCGAGCCCAGCAGCTTTCTGAGTAGGGGTCATAGGTGGTCAATTTTCTGAGACGCTTCCTATTTCAAAATGTTCTCCCTTCGCACTTGGCTGATTATGTCGGTGGAGAGAGGACTCCTGGCTGGAAGTCATTTCCTCTGAGTATTCGGGAAACTACCTGTGGCCTCACGAATTCTGATTTATGGTCCAGGCTCTACTTGACCTGTTTCTCTGTTCTGGGAGCTTTTGGAGTTTTCTCTTTGTTAACATAAGTCTGAAAGTCGGTGATGGGTGGCTTTGGGGTAAGTCTTTTTATTCATGAACAGAGCCAACTGGAATATTTGGGAAACATTCCTGAACGTCCGTTCTCAAAGTGAACCCCAGGGTCCCGAGACCCATTCGGGAGGTCCAGAGGGCCACCACTTCCCTGAAAACACTCTGGCCCTGCGCTCCCACTCTGTCGTGAGAGTGCAGTGGGCTTCTCCGGGGGCTGTGTGGCCTGGAGCGGATGGAAAGCAGAAGCAGATTTGAGAGTCCTGCTGTCTTCCAGGAACTCAGACAGTGCAGAGATGTGCAAAAATACAAAACAATGCCAACGCACCTAAAACGTTAGTGGGAAGAGTAGTAAAATTAGTCTTCTAAAAATCTGTGGGTTTCTTACTGTGATTATTGAATACGCTGATATTTCAACAATTCCTCAGTTTTCATTTCTATCATAAACCATAGACAAAAACAGCTTTTTGGATCCTCTGTACTTTTTAGGCACATACCGATCCTGGGGCCACAAAGCGGAGGCACCTCCGACTCTGAAGACAGCTTTGGTGTTTCCTTCCCTCCGTTTCTCTTCTCCCTCTTTTTGAAGCTCCCGTTATCCACACTTTCAATCTCCTATTTTCTTTCTTCTTGCTTATTGCTCTGCTTTTGGGGACACTTCAACTTATTTCCCATCCCATTTTATTGAATGCATTTTTATTGTCTTATTTTTCATTTCAAAGTGGTTTTTTTTTGAAGTAAGCACTTCAGATGTTTCCGTTCTTACTTTATGGAGGTAAAATCTTTTATCTCTGAGGATGACACTGTTGTTATTATTTTGGACTTTTCTTTCCTGCTCCTTGGTTGTGACCAAGCTCCCTTTTCTCTGAATATCCTGGCTTCTGTCTTTCCTGTTAGAGGCTCTCCCCAAATGTCTGGGGATCTTCCCTTGTCCTTTTCTATTTGAAGGTGAGACGCCACAGAGCCGGCCGCACACTTTGCAGGGGTTCACCTTGTCACGGGAGCTCCTCACTCCAAGGCCGAGGATCCCGTGATGTCGGTTAGAATCTTAAGAGTTCTTCATGCGGATTATGTCTCTCAATATTTTACCACATTAAAAATGAAAACAACTTTTAAAAATCAATCAACTCACTTCATGACAAGTAGAAGCCTATGTTAACCTATATAACTTTCTGTGAGGGTTTTATAAAATAAAAAAAAAGTTAGAAGAGTGGCATTGCTTTACATTTTTTGCAGGTCTCTAACATCTACTTTGACCCGGATGGAGTCTCGTATCTGCTTCTGCATTCGGTCTATTGCAATCTGTCGTTTTGGTTGAAGTGTATAGAAAAATTTCTGGCCTGACACACACGTGTCTACTAGAAAAGGGAGGAATGGTTTAATGGCCTTTTAAATGAGTGGGACTATTTTTCTTGGATATTACGTTGAAACCCAACAAATGGTAGTTTCTCAGAGGTCTGCTGGGGTCTAACACCGCACCAACGTACTACACCCTGTTCCTCTAAAATCCTTCGGTCTGTCTTGCACTTCGAAAGGATCTTTGACCAAATGTATGATTTCAGGATAGTCCCAATTTCAAACATTCCTTCCGAATATTTTTATAACTACCATCCCTTTGTGAGAGTCTCTATAGTTCGGAAAATCTGGTTCTGATATTTGTACCAATACCTTTTACAGGAGCATCTGAGACCCTGCTCCCCAGCACATGTCATCAGTTTGGCTCGAATAAATGAATAAACATTCAGAAAAATCTTTATAGGAAGATGGGTATGATTAAATTAAAGGCAGTTGCAATCTAATCGTTGGGGCCTAAACACTGGATGGAGATAAAAGGCTGAAGGGAAAGAAAAGCCAAAGCAGCAGCATCTGGGCTAGTGTCCCCCGTTCCTGGCAGACGCGGTGCTTCGGACGCAGGTTTTGTGTCCCGGGCTTTCAATAGAAACCCTCTTTCCGAGCGCAAAAGAATTTTGAGCAGAATCCGTCATGTTACTTCTCTGTTACTTCAGCTTGACAGAAATAGTCCTGACAATGTTTAGCTCCTTGTGTTCCAAATGTTGTGCTCATCAGGCTCCCTTGTGAGCTTTCATTTCATCTCGGGAGCTGACTCCCCGGCAGGAGGAAGCGACCCACCCAGGCCCTAGGTAAAGCTCACAGGTGAGCAATGCATGGCACTTATTGCTCAAGAACCACAGATCTGGGAGGCTGCTCGGTCCCAACCCCTAATTTTAAGGGGAGGAAACCATGGCTCATAAAAGGGAGGCGGCTTACCTTGGATCACACAGATAGTTATTAATGGCCACCCAGGGCTGGGGTTAGTGTCAGGGCTCCAAATCCCAGTCCTGCACTCCATTATAAACACATCTCCTGAAAGATGTGTTTGCTGATTGATTCAAGAAAGCTAAGGGCTATGTTCTGCATTATGGTGTCTGACTACATGGCAGGCCTTGTTTGAGTCATTTGGCTGGCTTCCCTTTACAACTTTTTTTAAAAAAATTTAATCTTTATTGTACTTTTTTCCATTACCATTTAGTCCCCTTATATCTCCCCTCACCCCAGCTATCGCCACGCTGTTGTCCCTGTCCATGAGTCCTTTCTAAAATAAAAGGAGGAGCTTGGCGGTGTGTCTCGTGCGAGGCATAGAAAGGAAGCTCCTGTGGCTGGAGCGTGACGAGCAACAGGGAGTGGGGAAGATACAAAAGGAAGAGCAACTATAAACTAAGATGCCATGTACCACGGGTGCACAGATGGCGCCACGGGATGGGGTATGGCAGCCACTGGAGATACTCCATAAAGATCAGACGCCGGACTGTCCCTTTCAAGTTGCAGCCTAACGGGGTGGGGACTAGGTTTCTCATCGCACCAGTGCAGCTGATGACAACTCCACATGTACATGACCGGGAAGAGGTGACCGGCAGACTGTGTTTTATGCTCAAAACTAAAGTCCTTCAGGCTTGGGACATTTTCCCTTTTCCCTGAGTAATTGTTTGAAATATGTCCCCTTTTTTTGAGTATAACTATAAGAAAGAAAATAAGATTTTTTTACTTGCGCTCAAATCCCTTGTTTGGATGGGAAATTAGAAGAAACGCTGTTCCCTTTTACAGGATGTATTACGTAAAAAATGTTCTCTGACCACTGACATGAACTTGAAGTCGGAAATTGTATTTTGACCTTGAAG